GTGGTCAGAATTTCCTCTCTTTCTCTACCTATCTCCTCTCTAACTGATGGCTTCGGCTTTGATTCCTTCCAGGCGGATGCTGGAGAAGAGGGAGCAGGAAGGATAGAAAAAGTGTTGCTTTTAACCTGCTGTTGAAGCCCTCTGGATGAGACCAAAGTCCAAAGTTGCCTCCTTCATATGGGATATTCCTGTGGGCTCTTCAGAGTTACTCTCACTAGGGACATCTGACCGAAGTCCTCCAAATCAAATTATCCTTCCTTTGGCATGCTGTTCTTACTTTTGCCTTAATTTTTTTCTCCCAAGGGTGTTTGTCCAGCCTTCTTTCTGGGTGACCTCTGTTCCGGCAGGAAGGCCTGCGCATACACTCCAAGTCAGCTCATGGCCAACTCCCTCCGTGGGATCCACGGAGCTTGGAAAGTATGCAGACGGGGCACGTGCATAGACGTGCATCTTGTGTGCCTGGTGCTGTGTCCCATTCTCCAACATCTCAGCAAATTCAGCCTTCACAGTAATTCTAAGAGCTATTATCTTCCCCATTTTACAGATGAGAAGACACGAAAGAAGAATAAACTTGTCCAAAGTTATTAAAGTCAATCATGATGAGAGCTGGGAAGTCTTAGCCATTGAACCTCTCAGTTGTGAAAACTCTGCTTTGGGAAGTCTCTTCCTAGTCAGAATCTTCTTTGATCTAAACTCTTGTAACTGTCCCTCGCTGCTTGACCCCTGTTCCGTGACTGCCTGGGGCTGTTATTCTCCAAACTCTCCGCCATCCGATTTCCCCCTTTGAAGACAGTGGCCTCTGCTGTCTGTCCATTTCTGGTTATATAATCAGCTGCCTTCTGCAGTGGTTCAGGTATCAAAATCAAGGTTGGGACATTCATCCACCCATCGTGGCCCTCTCAGATGTGTCCATCCGCTGGCGATTCACTTCGAAGATCAGTTGATTTCAGTGACAGCTGCTAAGAAGTGACCTCCCCATGAACCCCAGGATAAGCCTTTAAAAAACATCTTCATTGCATTTTTTCCATTATCATTTAGTCCCCCTCTACAGCCCTTTCCCCCCACAATCACCACACTGTTGTCCATGTCCATGAGTCCTCTTTCCTTTTTGCTCAATGCCTCCACCCCCTAACCTCTGCCTGTCCCCCAGCTGTCACACTGCCCTCTGTCTGTGAGTCTGTCCCCATTGTCCTCGTTAGTTCAGTTTGTTCATTTGATTCCACAGATGAGTGAAATCATGTGGTGTTTGTCTTTCTCTGACTGGCTTATTGCACTTAGCATAATGTTCTCTAGGTCCATCCATAGTGTCACAAAGGGAAAAATTTTGTTCTTTTGTATGGCCAAGTAGTATTCCATTGTGTAAATATCCCATAGTTGTTTTATTGGATAAAAGACGATAAACCTTGATGTCCCAGGCTTTGCTGGGGGGTTTGACCAGAAGAGGAAGAAACAGATCACTGGGACAGGTTTGGTTACATTCTAATTACTCTTTCAAAGGAAGCTATATTAAGAGTTGGGGATTACCTTTGAAAAAAAAGAATTTATGGGTTTTGAAAAAAATTTAAGTAACAAGTAAAAGGACTACTTTTAACATTTTTATGAACATGTACACTTCTTGTATAGATGCAGGAGTAGAACAAGAACATGAATTGCTGCTTAATTAAATTAGTAAGTCCATCAAACGTTATTCGATAACAGTTGAGTTGGTACTTGAATATGGCAGAAACTTCAAGGTAATACCCAAAGACAAATTTGTATGTGTACATGTTGACGCATCTCAGAAGGAGGATCTTGTCCGATATTTTTCTTGGCATATTCCCACGCTACCCATCTTCCCAATCTCAGAGGGGCACAGAGAAACATGCTGGACACAGGAAACTCCAACCCACACAGGTATCAATTCAGTGTATGCTTCCTCGAAAAAGAGTTTGTATAACGCCTCGCTCAGCCTACTGTCTTAGTCAGCTACTGCCATAATAATGCTTCGTAACAAATTGCTCAAAACTCAATGGTTACAAAAGCAGGCATTCTCCTGTCCAAAGGTCCGTGTGTTGACTGCTGTCCAGTGGATACAGGCTGTGTTCCACTGTGCTTTGGGTTGCATGTGGATGGGCTTGAATCTAGGACACAGTTTTATGCAAGTCTGCTGCGTGGGTTTGTTCAGGGACTGAGGCTGAAGGAGCAGGGGCTAAGCAAGTCATGGTTTCCCATCAAGGATCTCCTGAGTGCAAAAGTCAAGCCAAATCATGCAAGTAATTTTAAGACTCAGTTTCCATTTGCATCATGGTTAGTAATGTTCCATTGGCTAAAGTAAGTCACATGGCCAAGCCCAACCTCGATGGACCAGGAGAAGTGTTTTGTTGCTAGTGGGACGGGAAGAGTAGTGAATAGTTGCTAGATAAGAAATCCAAACCATCACACCCACTTTACTGAAAACCTCACACCCTCTCCAGGGCGGGTAAGGGTCTTGGTCCACCTGTATGGCAGCAGAAATATTGGCGCCTTATAGGAAACCAGCAGAAATCAAACATAGAAAAGAAATGCGAGGAACCCAACTAGGTTAGTCTTCTGTGTGAGGAGCATCTACAAATACTTATATCACATAAACGGTGGCCCTCATTATGCACGCCCTTGAGCATTGCAGGGCATGTCAGGCCCCGTAGCAATGTGGCAGTTTCTTATCTGTGAACTTCAAACCAGCACTTCCACTCATGTAAATGGTCATAATGCCACCCTACTTTTATGGAAAATTTTTTTCCAAAACTAATGATTTTAACATTGACCATGACCAGTTAAATTCTTTCCGGTTATGCTTCTGACTATTGCCTCTTCCCCCTCTTTTAGGCCTAACACTTATCCTTCAGAGTTTGCACCTGAGCTTGCTTGCACAGATTTAGGCTTATATACACTCTAAGGGTTTTGCCTTAAATTCACACTGTGGCTCTCCAACCCCTGGCAGACTCAGGTGAAGTCTTGTAAATCAGCTCCACGCCCACAGACGTTTATTCTCAATCTCCAGCACTAGCTGCCTAATATGCCCAGGTGAGCCTTCCATGGGGATTACAGGAGGTAGACATCCTTTGAGTGCCATCAATAGAAAAAGTCAAACTCATGGCTGAGTTTGGATACTAAGTCACCAGCAAGATGTGTTGAGTTCAAGAACTAGGTATGAAATGAAGCTATTGGCTTGGTGAGAACACTAGACTCAGCAAGAAGATATCCAGTATGAGAGTCTAGGGAAGTTTGCATAGATAGCTATTAGCTGTATCTTGTCTTCATGGAGACCAAAGACTCATACCTTTGCCTGGTCTGATGCTCTCATTCTTAAGTTAGAGCATCTGCTACAAATAACACTTACTGGTTACTGATTGTGTTGCACACAACAAAGCAAGGAGCTATTCCTTTTACTTCTTCCCATCCTCCTTCCCCTCTAAATTCAATTCTTTCATTTCCTTACCTCTACTTAAACACACACACACACACACACACACACACACACACACACACACCTTACCTAGAAAATATTGCATCCTTGTTTGTAACTTTGTGCCTCCTTTATTTTCAGATGTTGACCTTACCGTTCTGATCTTCTGTCCCTCTCCCCTTCCCAGCAACAAGACAATCAGAGGTGGTCATTTCTCAATGGGCCACACCTTCCCTGTGCTCCAGCCCTTTGCGTCTGTCTCGGCTCTACCATTCTTCATCTGGTGGACTCAGTAAATATACTCTGTATTTCACAGATAAGGATCATGTGATCTAGTGCAGAGCAGGATTTTTAGATCTAGACAGCCTGGAGTTGATTTCAATCTGGGTTCTACCAGTTACTAGTCATGTAATCTTGGGAAAGTATCTTTCTCAATCTGTACCTCCAATTTCCCCATCCATAAAACAAAATAATCATACCTCCTTTGACAGATTAGTGTAGGACTAAAGGACTAGTGTACACTTTGCATATTGTGGGCCAACAACCAATAATAGCTGTCATCCTTTGCATGTGTTTCAGAGTTTCTAAGAGCAATACAATCCTATCAGACCATCTCCGCCGCAGTAAAGGATAAGAGACGGTGAACCTGTTTTTCCACTTGTGGTTTGTCTCACATCTTGGTGGAATACAAGAAGAGGATAAGAAGTTGCTCAGACATTGGAAAATGGGGACTTTTTAAAGAGAGTTTGGGGATACCGGGGTTTTCCTCTCCCTCGCTGTGAGTAGTGTTCACCACTCACTGTCGGACAAATTAGGATGCTCCAGAGGCTAATTTGGAGAACTCGACATATCAGGAAGTAGCACATGACTTATGTCTGAACATTATAAAGACAAGAGACTCTGGCAAAGGCCCGGAGCAGGGCAAGAGATGCCTCCCAAGGGCAAGATCGCTGGGGGAGTGAGGACTTCCCGCTGTGCCTCCCCTGAGAAGCTGAGATAAAGGAGGAGAGGCCAGGGTGTCTCTGGACTGATAACCAGGCTCCACCCAGAGGCCAATGGTGTGCGTATGGGGATGGCAGGGGCGGTGAGTGGCAGAAGTGCCCCTTCTCCAGGACCAACAAACTGGGGTGGGAGGAGGCAGGAGGCCATTTCCTGGATCCCAGTCTTCAGACTCAGCGTCCAGAGCAGAACCAAGAAGGATCTGGGGAGCCAAAGAAAAGGATAGACAGACGGACACATAGGCAGAAGGCAAGTCCTCTGGGGAAAACCATTTCTTTTTGAAGTCAGAGGCCTGGGCTGAGGAGCGGGGGTGGCTGCTGTGTGAGAAGGCCCCATCCCCACGGGAGGGGTGGGGCGTGAGAGGCTTGGTGGGTATAAGGGAGAAGGGACAGGAGGTGACAGTGCCTAGTGGTGCATTCAGGGCACAGGTTCATTCTGCAGCCCGTCTGGGGTCGCTTCCCTGGGAGGAAAATACGTGGTGGTGGAGTGGGTGGGTCAAGGTGTCAAAAGGAGCCGATCTAACTTTCTTTAGTGTACGCCCCAAGTCCTGAACCAGTGTCGCTCTCCTTCTGCTCACTCGGCTCTGGAGGGTGGGGACACACGCGGAGAGAACCACGGGGACCCAGCTGGGAGAGCAGAATGGGGACTCTGTGGAGCCAGGAGGTAAGTGATGTCCTTGACCTGTGCTGGGGGGGTGTATGATACCCTTCCAGCTCCGGCATCCAGCCCCTCGCTGCCTGCTTGAGCCTTCACGCAGGGCAGGCGGCGTCCCTTGTCTGAGCACCTCCCAGGGGCTGCACACGTCTGTGTTTAGGGAGAATGAGGAGAATGACCTCCGAACAAGGGGGCCCTAGCACTAACTTCTTCATTCTCTCCCCTTTACCCTGTCCCCTTCCCTTCGCCCACCCTGCTGTCCCAACCCCCTCCCTCTTGTGTTTCTCACTCCCTGGCTCCCTGCGTGCACAGAGGCCCCCAGAAGAGGAGCAGCCCACGGAACAACGGAGCAGATGGTGGGCCCCAGCCAGGCGGCTGCTAACAGCTGTCCTGCTTTTAGGCCTGTTCCTTGGTTCTTCTGTGGTTTTGTACTACATCTTCTGGAGCTGTGGGCCTCGTAAGCAGGATCCTGGAACCCCTAAACCCATCAGCCCTCTCTCAGTCATGGGCCCCACCCATCCATCACCTGAGGCTCCGTGTAGCCCAACTTAATCCACCACTCATCCTGCCCCTCCCACCTACCCCCTCCTAGGTCCTTTCCCCCTGACTTCCTCCCCCAGAAACTGGCAAGATCATTTCCTTCTCACCAGGGTCTCTCCTTGGTCCTCACCCAGCATTCCTTTGCCCAGCCCCTTGGGGGAGCCCTCGCCTCTCTCTTCTTTCCCAGCTCTGAGCTTTTCCCCACAGGCCCCTGCAAGACGCCCGCTTGCTGGCGTCTCCTGAAATACTACCAGGCCTCCGGGAACACCAGTGTGCCCCCTTGCACCGACTTCTTCAGTTATGCCTGTGCAGAGGCCGAAGGAGCCAATACTTCTTTTCAGGCCCTTGCTGAGGAGAACAAGAGCCGACTTCAGAGGATACTGGGTAAGTAAGGAGTGCCGGGCCAAGATTCTCTGTGCAAATGCGTGACTCCGAGCCTGGAGCCATCACGGCTCCCACACCTGTGTGGGTGTCGCACAGCTGGTCTGCACCACCCCCAGTGGGCTCCCAGGTTTGTTGCTCTCTTGCTGTACCTTTTGCCCCAGGCACCTCCTCTCATCTGTGTCTTCTGGTCCCTCACTTGTCTTGGCTTAATCCCCATCATCCTCTTTCCTTTCCGTTCATGATGACACTGCTCTCTCCACATTCTCCGTGTTATCAAGCTCCATCTTCTTTGTTGTGTCCCTTACATTCTCCATTTCTGTCCTGTGCATGGTACCTTCCCCGCCAGCATCTCCCCAGAGCTTTTGCACTTGAATTCCTTTCTCCATCACTCTCAACCTCTAGCCTTCAAACTCTTCTTGATCTTCAGGAAATGGGATCATGGGGAGGGACAATGGGAGATGAAGGTGGAAAGAAGAAGGTGGCAGAGTTGGGAAACCAGTGACACAGCAGACTGTCTATGGCTGTGTTAAGAGAATGAATATAGATCTGCTCGAAGAGCAGAGCCAAATTAAAAACCCTGGGGGTAAAGAAGAGTCCTGGAGATAGTGATGGTGGAGAAAAGACCTGAAAGGGAAGTAATGAGGGGGGAACTGAGGCCCCCTGGGGGTTGGAAATGGGCCCCAGAAAGCTGGTGGATGGTGGCGAGGATTTGGGAATACAAACTTTTAAGAGTGCCATGTATTGCCCACGTAAAGGAACCTGGACAGTGTGTTGGCAATGCCAGCTGAAATTTGGGAGAAATAAATGGCTCCCTCTCCCCTCCTTGGGATGCAGAAAGAGTAGAAGTAGGCTCGCCCTTGGTGGGGGCCGTGTTTTGAACTAAGGCACAGAGATGAAAAGGAACAATAGGCTTAGGACAAATTCTGCTGCCCACCGTGGAGTGAAGAGCTATCAGGGGGCGGAGGGAGAGGTGCTGGATGTTAGAGGGTGGTGATCCCAGTGGGTATGCGTTTGGGTTGTTGTCATGTGTCTGTTCATTCTGGGCGGAACCAAAGAGTGAGGAGTCTGGACTAGGGGAGCCCATCCTGTTTCCCCCCTTTGGTAACCCTTTCCTTCTGAACTTTTCTCCCTTCGGTCCCTCTGGGTTCTCTAATTCTCCTGTTCGTCTCCATCCTGCCTTCCATTTCTACCCTTCCTCCTTTAGCCATATCCCACTTGTTCTTCGCTCTTCCTTTTCTTCCCTGTCTTTTCCTCCTTATTTTATTTCTCACCCTCCCTTTATTTTCCTCATTGTCTTCTCTGCACTCTGTTCCCTGCTTTGACCCTTCCATGTAGGTGTTCCCATCCAAATTGGACAGTCTTCCGTATTCCCAAATTTCCTCACCTCTCTATTCCTTCCCTCCTTTCCCTTTTCCCTCCAGTCTTTCCTTTCCTCCCTATAAGTTCTCTGTCTCACACCTTCTCTGCTTGTCTCTAGGGGGGCCCCACTCCTGTCATTAACCACGTTTCTTTTCTAGATGACCCCCAGTCATGGCCCCCAGGGTCTGGGGAGGAGAAAGCCTTCCAGTTCTACCGCTCCTGCCTGGACACAAATGCCATCGAGGCTGCAGGGGCTGGTCCCCTCAGACAGGTGATTGAGGAGGTGAGACACGGGGCATGACTTCTCTGGACACATGTTATATAAGACCAATGTATGCTCAGGGTTGCCATTTTATTTTCTAGAGGGTTGGTCTCTTTCCTAGGGATGCCCAAGATGTAGGAAGGAGGTGGAAATGGCAGTGCCCTGTGGAAGTATTAGGACCTTGGGTGAGGCTGGAGAAAGACAGATAGAGGTGGAGCTCTGGAGCGATCAAAGGAATCGAGAGTAGAAGTCAGGAAATAACACCTGTCTGAGGAAGGGGGGGCAGGTGCCAGAGGAGGCCAGTATGCTGAAGCCTTTTCTCTCTTCTTCCCAGCTTGGAGGCTGGCCAGTCTCCAGTAACTGGACTTCCTTAGATTTCAACCGAACTCTGAGACTTCTGATGAGTCAGTATGATCACTTCCCCTTCTTCAGAGCTTATCTGGGACCTCATCCCACCTCTTCGCACTCGCCTATCATCCAGGTGAGGGATGTCCTGGTAAAAACGCAGGGGAGACCTGGGCCTGCCTGGAATTCTAGACTATCATCTCTTAGGGGAAGGGGGAGACGGGATAAATGTGCGATGGGAAAAGACCTATCTTTAGGGCAAATTATTTATGTGAGAGTCAGGGACACTAGGCAAGATTAGGGGGAAAAGTAGCAAGGCTGGTCCTAGGAAAACAGAAGTGGTTTTGGTCTTCCTTGCTTATCAGATTACCCCAGAGCCTCTTAACTCCTATCTCCCACATCACCCCTTTCTTATTTACTTTATTCTCTTCTGAGGGGCTTTCTCAATCAAGAGCTAATTATGCCATTATCTCTGTGTAAATGCCTTCAATCACCAGATCATCAGGAGGTAGTTCTTAATTGTTTTAGCTAAGCCTTGCCAGTCTTTTCACAGTCTGATTCCTACAGACTTCTGCATCTCCTGCCACCTCTCCTTCTGCTCCTTGAACTCCAAGGCATGCTCACTCACAGCCCCTCAGTCCTTCCAATACATGACTCCCTTGGCCTGCAACACTACTCCCCAGTCTCCTACACTCAGCCTGGAAAACTTACCTATTTTCCAAATTTTGGCTTACATTGTTGTCTCTTCTAGGAATTCTTCACTGATACCCTTGCAAGACTTAGGGAACGCCACTCCCCCCTTCCCCATGCTCTCAGCATTTAACACTGTATTGAAGACCATAAGCCTCTTAAGAACAAGTCCACTCATTCACCTTTGTTCCTCAGCACAAGGCCAGGCAGCTAGAGGCCCAGACCAGGTGTCTGTTGAGCAAATCAACAAATAAAAACACTGGGGGCATTGGTATTGTGGTAGGCAATGTGACGCTATGTATTTGGCTCCATTCTCAAAAATTTCACAGATTTGTAAGAGGATAAATATATAAGAAGTATGAGGTGTCCTAGACTTCAGTTCCAAAGGGGGTGCCCAGATTAATGGCCTTTGGGAATCAGTTAAGGTCTGAAATGGTTAAGGAAAGGCTCAGAGAGGGGAGAATGGGAGCTGAGCCCTGAAGCATGGTTGGTTCACACAGGTAAAGGTGAAGCTGAAGGGCAAGGAAAGGGCAGCAGGGGAAAGTCCTGAGCTAAGGGAAGACCCTGGGATGGTCTGATTCCTCTGTGGGTTCAGTGAGGAGGCAGGTCTAGTGAATAGGGGTTAAGGAGGGTATGCAGTTGGACGTAGAAGGAAGCCTGAAGACATAAGGTTGGACTAGTTATTCCATATCTAAGGAGCCAGACTAATATGATAACTGTTGACAATAGGAAAAAAAAAAAAAGATCTTTCAAATACAATGGTTGTGTACTGAGCTTCAGCAGAGTCAGCAGTTTGGGAGGTCAACCTGGAAGTGCTGAGAAATTGAACAATTTTGAGGCTATGAACTAAGATGCTTGCAGGAGAAATGGAAAGGAAAGGTCAGGATGGCCCAGAGGCTTAGGTGACTTTATTCTTGTGCTCATGGTCCAGTGCGATTGGTGACAGATTGACTGTACAAAAGAAAGGCAGATAAATAAAAAAATGACCCTCCTCCAGCCCCAGTTTTGATTTGGTGTGAATGGGAGGAGGGTGGTCACTAGCAACTTGAGACCAGGTCGCCTCTGGGGAGAATGGGCAGAGAGAATGGACTACAGAGGGCCCAGCCCAGTGAGGGGGTGGGGCAGAGAAGAGCGGGAACAGGCAGTGAGGCGGGAGTCAGACCAGCATGCGTGAGCCACATAGGACAGGAGAGCAGCCAGTTTCTAGAGGAATGGCTCATCTCAGATTCTAAAGTTTCTGAACTCAGAGAATAAGGAATGAGGAGACAGCACTGGGAACCTCCTAGAGATAATATCAGAGATGGCTATGGAGATACTCACGGGTCCTGCACAGGTTCTGAGGAAGGTGAGGAAGCTGAAGCAGTGATACAGACAATGTAGTTTTTAGTTTGGACATAACATGTGACAAAGTATGGGGGGGTTCTGCCCACAGAGCCTCCCCGCCTCCCTGCCAGGCCCTCATGGATGAGAATAAGTCTGTGAAGACACGATCTGCTTTGGGAGGAAAGGTAGCCAATCTCTCAAAGGAGAAGGACCAGGAACCTGTTCCTCAATGGGCTTTTACTGTGTTTAATTTGCATAGGAATACAGGGTGTACACGTAAAGCTCATCAATCATTGTCAGGCAGAAATGATTAAACAATAGGTAACATTCAGAGAACTCTGAGAGCTTATTCTGAGTCAGGGTCAGATAGTTTAAGGGCCATAAAACTTTGGGGAACAAACTCACTTCCTGCTTAGACCCTTATCATTTAAATTGAGGGTATTAGCAAAGTAGGTTTTATAGCATTTTATGCATATTTTCTTAGGCCTGATCGCCCCAGGGAACCTACCCTTTTCAGAACAGGGCTGCACCCACCTCCAGAATTGTTTCTAGCTTAAGGCATTGTTTCTGGTTTAATTCAGGCAGGGGAAGTAAGGCAGCCAAGAGATTAGGAGACTTCTTGCAGACAGAATAAGGACTCAAGCTATGTCAAAGCCAAGGGGCGAGGGTCCATCACCCCCTTTCTTTATAGCCCCCCAAGTCCTTCCCTGAGGGCCCCTTCGAGACCATGCCTGTCTTAGGTCGTCCCTTTTTTGAGGAATCTTACCCATCATTGGCTAACCAGTCATCCCCCCACCCCCACCCCGGGCCAAGCAGGGTGAAGTGAAAGGGGGCAGAGGCGGGGCCCCTACAAGGAAGATAAGCTTTGTCTCTTAAGTGGCATATGGTCCCGAGGTCTTTTTACTCAGCCTTAGCCAGGAGGGGTTACAGTTTCTGAAACCAGGCAGGGCGGCTCCCAACAACAGAGGAGTCAGGTGAAAGTTTTTTCAAAGTAGGGACAGGAATAGAGCTCAAGCTGGTGGGGGTGGATATTGAAGTGGGAAAAGGGAAAGTGTGGGAGAAACAATCTTCAGAATAGAGTCAAAGACACGCCTGTGCCAGAACTAAGGTGAGGCCAGGCACGTGAGCAAGCTACTTGGCTGCAAGATTTAGGAGGGTACCCAAGGTTCAGTAGTCAAGATAAACCATATTTTAATGAATAGGTTTTAAAAATCAAAGTCAGTGCAACAATCCATGATGAACAAAATATCACATTTCTGTTCATCACAGATTATTTGAAAAAAGGTAATTTTGTTTTTCAAAATGAATTAAAATGCTATTGTAGACTTCTTTGAAAACATCTATAATTTTTCAAAAAAGCAGATCAAAAGTACACTGAGGATTTTGGGGGGAACCTCCCCCCCAGCATGATGACCAAAGCTTTGCTGTTTTAATCAGTATGGATTCTTAGCATTCATTCTGATTTTTAAAAATATCAATTAGGATATTAGTTATTTTGATACTCAGCTTTTAGTACCTCTTAAATATTGCACCTGGAGCGGCATCTCACCCTTACATCCAGATCTGGCCCTCACCCAGAAGTGGTCCCCCTCAGGACATGAACTATTAGGTTTCTCTTGCTAAGCACCCCCAAAACTGGTTGAAATGCCCACCTTCTCTCCCCAGTTCCTTGTCTGGACTCCTTCCTTCCATGCCCCTTGCCCCCAGCCCCTTCCTTTCTTTGGACTCTCGCTCCTTCTCTGCCTGCGCCGTCTTCATTCCATTTCCTGAGGCCATCTTGCATGGCGCAGGCCCCATGCCCCCACACCCGCCCTCTCCTTCCTCCACACGACCCACTTCTGTCCAGTCTCTCTTGTGTCCAGATAGACCAGCCAGAGTTTGACGTTCCCCTCAAGCAAAAGCAGGAACAAAAGATCTACGCCCAGGTAAGATGGATGGTGGACAAAGGGCTCGACCTGGGATGCAAGGAGAAAGGCGGGGTCTCTGGTGGCTGTGACTGAGGTTACCCGTCCCCTAGATCGTGCGGGAGTACCTGACTTACCTGAACGAGCTGGGGTCCTTGCTGGGAGGAGACCCCATCCAAGTGCAACAGCATGCCTCCGTGTCCATCTCCATCACCTCGCGGCTGTTCCAGTTCCTGAGGCCCCTGGAACAGCAGCAGGCACGGGAGAAGCTCTTCCAGATTGTCACCATAGAGCAGCTGCAGGTGACTTGCACTGGGGACTGGAGGAGCATGGGCATGAAGGTCTCTCTCCCACACTTTCTTCACCTCCTTACCTTCTTCCTCCACATTCCCTCAATTCTTTTCCATCCCTGACCACCCCTTCCCTGCTTCCCCTCAAATCCGGGAGACAGGAAGATCCTTCTCCTTTCCCCCCTCCTCCTCCCCGTTCCCCTCAGCCTCTGTGTCCTTCTTCTAAGGAAATGGCCCCGGCCATTGACTGGTTGTCCTGCCTGCAAGCAACATTCACACAGATGTCCCTGAGCCCCTCCCAGGCCGTCGTGGTCCATGACCTGGATTATTTGAAAAACATGTCGCAACTGGTGGAAGAACAGCTGTCAAACCACAGGTTGGCACCAGGAGGGGTTGGGGAGGTCCAGAGGCATCAGGGGTACAGACGACTTTGGAGAATGCAGGCCGGGAAGGGCCTCCCAGGAGGATGGGAGAGACTCGGACACATGGGCCACAGAACGGGTTGGGTGGACAGCCACAAAGGGAATGGAGGAAGGCTGGGAGGCTTGGGGGTCACGGGGAAGGGAAAACGTGAATGAAAGGAGGGATACAGGGGTCTGGGAAGACACCAGATTTGCCGGGAGTAGAACCCAGCCTGTGAAGAGCCTATGAGCTATAGGAGGTGCTGGAAGGCCCGTCATGGGGACAGCTCGGCCAGGTATGTCTTGTCAGCCACCGCTGGGCACAGGCGGGAGTAGGAGGCAGCGAGACGAGCAGATGAAGGAAGTGAAGGCTGGGCCGCTCTGCGGGGGGAAAGCTGAGGGAGAGGCCATTTCCCGGGCGTGATGAGAGGACCCCGGAGACCTTGTGAGAACGGTCAGGAAGTCAAGGAAGGTGGGCACATGAGGGGGAGACTGTGTGTGGGGCTCTCCGCCATCCCTGATGTCTGTGTGGCCACCACCGGAAGGGGCTTCTGCCCAGGGGCTTGGGCCCTTCTTCATAGAAACTCGGTGGCAGCAACATCTAGAAGTGCTTCTTGATGGAAGCAGACAAGCGTTCGTGTGGGCGTGAGCAGGTTCAGGTGAGGGCACGGGGCCAACCTGCTCATCGAATTGCCAGCAGGTCGCAGAAAGCTCCCTGACCTCAGCTTTGTTGTGCTTGGAAGACACATCCCAAGATGAGCCGAGGTTTATTGCTTGTGGAAGTAGATGAATCAGTTTTGCTAACTCAACGCCCAGCCTTTGTCTAGTCCAGATCCTTCTCTCCCTGGGACTTGAGAAGTCTGATACTTCACCTAGTTCTTTTTCTTTTTTGTATCAGTCCCATCCCACACTGAGAAATGCTCTCCTTCACTTTTTCACAGTCAAACAGTTGTTAAATACAGAGGAGCAGGGGCTTCTCCCCAGAGTGCAGGGGACCTAGGCAAGGGGAGGCTTTGCTTTAGGGATCCCCAGAGCACCGGGGTGCAAGTGTGGGTCTCTTTCTCCTCCGCAGTGACTTCCTGCAGAGCCACATGATCTTCGGGCTGGTGGGGAGCCTTTCCCCAGCACTGAACAGTTCGTTCCGGGAGGCACGCCGATTGCTGAACTGGAAACTCCAGGAGCTGATGGGACGGCCACCTCCGGTGAGGAGAGGAGGGGAGGAACCGTCTCGCACTGGGGGCTAGAGGAGCACCTGTCATTGTGAGGGTGCATTTGGCCCTGTTGCTCTCAGGTAGTGGACATGAGGGCAGGTGCCTCTCGACGTCTGGGCTTTCCATGAAAGCACACAGGTTGGGCATGCGACGCTGACCTTGAGAACCCAGGTACAAGGCTCCAGACCTTTTAGGCACACACTTGGCTATGTCTACGGCCCTGTGCTGAGTATGGAAGTTTAAATATAGAACTCTGAAATCATCGAGAGGTACTTTTCCTGTGTCAAGACCCTTAAGCTATTTGCTTCGCTCTCCTGAGCTGTGTGATTGGAGGACGGGATGAGAGACAGATGTAGCAAGCAGCAGCTTTTCCTCTCTCTGGGTGATTCCGGTGTTTGGTGCTCAAGTTCTTCACCAAGAATCCATCTCCAACATCCAGTGGCATCGGCCGGGCCTCGCTAGGGGGTGCGTGGTACAGATCTCAGTACACCTGAGGGGGGCGCTGTAGAGCAAGTGCACTCCACCTACCAAAGTCTACCGTGTTAGGGAAGACTAGAGACACTCCTCCACAGAAGATGGTGAAGTCCTGAGGTAGACACACCCAAACGCAAGTGGGGGCATCTCATGTGTTAGAGACACCCCAACTTTAGTGAAGGTCTCAGTTTCGTCTTGAAAATCACTGTGTTTTTTTAGTAGTTTATGAACCATTTTTCTGCCTTGGCGAAGCTCACTGCTTTGGCACCCTGAAACATTTATGGGATTCAGAGAGGGGCTAGGTGTGCATGGGGCCTGGAGTTTACTTATTGCTCATTAAGGATTTATCATGTGCTAGACATTTCTCTAAGCCCTTTAGATAGATGAGCTGCTCCAGTCCTCACAGCTTTCCCACGAGGTAGGCACATCATTGTGTCCCAGTTTTATAAACAGGGATGTCCAGGCACACATGTTACAGAACCTGGCCAAGGTAGAATGCCTAGGAAGTTGGAAGAGCTAGGATTTGAACTCTGACAGTCTGGCTCCAGAGCCTGCGTGCTTAATCACTGTGCTTAAAACAACAACAACAACAACAACAACAACAACAACAACAACAACAACAAAAACACTCCTCCTTAGGACTCTCACTCATGTGGGCAAGGCCCCAAGAGGATTCCTTCTGCTCAGACTTTCTCTTGACTCCGATGAAGAAGAGCAGAGTCCTCACTCCTCTTAGTTGGGGCGTTGGGGTTGCTACAAAATCCCTGGCAATGAACGGCTTCCTGTAAATCCCAGAGCCGTGGCCTGATGACATTTTTTGACTGAGGGGAAAGAGCACCAATGCTGAAACTGACAGTCGAACTTAGGAGACTTACAAATTGCTAAAGCTGCCATCCTTTACACACACACACACACACACACACACACACACACATAATGCATTGATTAGGATATAGCGCTACCAGTAAACAGCTGTGTGACTCTGGGGAAGGCACATCACCTCTCTGAAACAACGGTACCAAATATAACGTAGTGATAATAGCTGATATACATTGTGTAGCTTACCCTTTTCATTGCATGCAACTTTTAGCATAAATGATTTTATTTAATCCTCCCAGAAACACACTGAGGGCCTCAGAGACAACAAGTAACTTTCACAAGACCACACAGCTCAGAAATGAAGGAACAGACACCAGAACAACTCGTCTGGCTCATGAGGCCATGTTGTCGACCATGTACTCTGCAGGATTAAGAAATACGTGGGTGGCACAGAAAACGGGTCGGCAAGTTCTGTAAAGGTCAAGATAGTAAAATTTTTAGCTTGGTCTAATGGTCTGTGTTGCAACCACTCAACTCTGTCCTTGTAACACAAAAGCAGGCGTACAACAAATAAATGAAAGGGCATAGGTACATTCCAAGGAAACTTTGGTTTAGACAACAGATACTCTTGAAATTCCCAAGAGGGAGAGGTCTGGGTGGGTTTGACGGACCCGTAGGCTCTCTGCACAAGAGGTAGGATGGAAGCAAGGTCTAGAGAGTTGAAGATTTCTGGCAAAGAAAGGGCTATTGTCTCCCTGGGTCAAAGCAGGGGACTGGCTGGCTAAATCGTGGTGCACTATGGGAAGTCCTCCTGGTGACTCTGGCTGAGAAGAGTGGCTTTCTGCCAAGGGAGCATGCGCAGAGGTTTGACGATCAGCAGGGAGGCAGCGCAACTGGACCAGAGGGTGCAGACAGGATTGTAATAGGGAGGAGTTCAGAGTGGGAAGCTGGGGAGCATACAGGGCCTGGTAGGTCACTGTAGGGACTTTGGCATATTATAAAAGAATGTGATTTGGAAGTGAGGGACAAGATTACCTGACAGATGTGTGCTGTGAGAAGGAGAGTGAAGTTGGGGACACTACCAAGGTTCCGGCCTTAATTTGACCAGAATTTGTGGGGGGGTTTTTAAAGATTTTATTTGCTTATTTTTAGAGAGGGAAGGGAGGGAGAAAGAGAGAGAGAGAGAGAGAGAGAAACATCAATGTGCGGTTGCTGGGGGCCGTGGCCCACAACCCAGGCATGTGCCCTGACTGGGAATTGAACCTGCAATGCTTTGGTTTGCAGCCCATGCTCAATCCATTGAGCTATGCCAGCCAGGGAAGAATTTGTGGTGTTATTCAATGGCTATTAAGTTAAGAATTCTAACCATGTTCTTTTGAATGCATTCTACTTAGTAGTGGCCTTATACAAAAAGACTGCTAAGTCTCATTATATGACCATATTTTGTTGATGAATTTTGAAGATCCAGTCAATAAAAATGGCTATTAAGCCAGGTCTTATTAAATTTGGAAAGCTGAGTTTTGGGGAATAAAAGTAGGGCTTCACATTTGTACCTGTGAAATATGAGCTATTTATATTTAGCCCAGTGGCCCAAATTATTCAGGTAACTTCAATTTTTTTTTGTCAGTCATCCATTATATTACCTTTCCTTTTCCACCTTAGATCATTTGCAGTTTTATAGTGTATCTTCATCTACAGTCTAGACTACTATTAAGATTCTTTTTTTTTAGATTTTATTTATTTATTTATAGAGAGGGAAGGGAGGGAAGGAGAGAGAGAGAGAGAGAGAGAGAGAGAGAGAGAGAGAGAGAGAGAGAAACATCAATGTGCGGTGCGGTTGCTGGGGGTCATGGTCTGCAACCCAGGCATGTACCCTGACTGGGAATCGAACCTACGACACTTTGGTTTGCAGCCCGCACTCAATCCACTGAGCTACGCCAGCCAGGGCTACTATTAAGATTCTGAAGAGGGAAGAGTGTTGGGTCAAGCCAGGCCTGTAGATTTATCTATTCATTATGTAGCACATGCTTCCTGAGCACCTACTAGACCCCAGACACTTCTCTAGGCACCACAGACTGCAGTGAACAAAATAGACAACAAACTCTGCCCTCAGACACTTATATTCTAATGGATGAAGAAAGGCAGTAAACTAACTAAATAAAATATCTTAGGTGGTAATGCATGTTATGGAGAAATAAGACAGGAAAAGGAGAGAGGGCGTGTTAGGTGGGGAGCATCTTACAATTTTCCATAGTCCTGGCCAGGGAAGCTCATACCATCTTGGAGTCATTCATCTTTGAGGTTTTGTTGTGGCTCAGCCCGCTGAGCATCCACTCAAATCACACTATCATCCAACATAGACTTCTCCATCTAATTCACAAGGATTTAATTTGTGGTTTTATGAGATGTCTTCTTGAAATCAAAATCATGCCAGTGGGGTGATAGTTCAGAATTTACGGAGTACTTTCCATGTATTGTTTCATCTCTTCTTTTAAACAGCTCTGTAAGGAAGTTGGACCAGGTATTGGGTCCACTCACTTTTGTAGCCAGTGTGTCTGAAGTGCTGAGGTTTAAGTTAAAAAGCGGCATTCGGTAAATGCTGAATTCTCTGTGCGGAGGTGGTATTGAGGTGGTCCGAGAGGGTGGATCTGACCTATCACTGTGTCTTGTTGGCCTTGGAAGCTTTTTATAAACTTTTCATTAATCACCAAGCTTCAAAAATGAGGAGATGGCACACCAAGAATTGCATTTTTATCCTTTGTTGTTGCAAACGTGACGTGATGCTTGGGCATAGCTGGGCCAGCCTCTGCCCGGGCAAAAACTTGCAGCATCTCAGTTTGGACTGGGCATGCTCTCTTCCAGTTGCCATCGTCTCTCCACATCCTGTGCTTCTGATGTTGGTCAGCTCCTCTCAGTTATGTCACCTCATGGCCCCTGTTTGACTTTGTGACTCCTGGTTGGTGGTATGTCCTAGTGTGGTGAACCTATTAACCAGAGAAATCGCTATTACTTTGACCTTATTTGTCCCCAGGGATCCTAGATGGGCCCTCAGTCATTGCATGTAATTTTCCGAGTGTTTAAGAAATAGTCAGTTTAATGATTCCCAGAGTGGCACGGGGGTGAGCCTGAGGCAGCACCTTTACTCCCTGCAACCAGTTCAAGGCCTGCCATGGCCCAGGCCATGGGGACCAGTGTGGAGCAGGCGAAGGCGGTTGGAGAAAGGGGCAGGCAGCAGCGAAAGGGATCAGGGGACACCTCCAGGACCAGGAGGTGTGGAAAGGGCAGATGCTATTTCCTGCTGTACCCGGTGTCACCTCAAAGCCAAGCTTGTTGCAGGCAGGCCGGTGGGGAATGGACACCGAGGGAGGCCCCCAGTCATTACTGTCAGACCCAGGTTTCCTTTCCACTTGTGTTTGCATTTCACATTTGCGCTCCAGAGCTGCAACTACTGCACTAAAGAAAGTATCTCATTCCCTTCTCACCAGGTCCTGAACGGGTCTCATGGGGAGGGGACAAGAACACACAGTGTGAGCGACTGAGTCTGGAGCCACCTGCAAAATGATAAATGTCCTAATAGGCAGGCCCTGGACTCCCTTCTTCATGAGGGCACTGCTGGCCTTCTCCTTCTGGTCCCTCTTCTGTGGGGCCCTGGGAACTCTCTCTCCAGTCTTCAGGAAGCAGAGCTTAGAGTCCCTCTCCTGAGAGGGGCTCTAAGGGGAGTAAATCAGTTACAGGAATGAAGTCTTGTGACTTCACTACTTAGCCCAAATTAGCATAGTAGCTGGTTTTCCTCAGTCCCAGCCCAGTCATTCCTGGGCCAGCTCTCTTATTCCCACCCTGGCCCCTAAAATCAATTTTTCAGCCTGCTCTTACCGTCTCTGGGCCTGCCCCTTGGCCAACTCTCCAAGCCAGCCAGGCCCACCGCCGAAACCTCCCCAGCAGCTCTCTTTTTCTTATTCTTTTTGTCCTGCTGTGAAAAAACACCCCAGCTGCCAGAGGCCTCTTGGGTTTTTATCCTACCATCTCCCCACCTTTGAGGTTGAAGATGTCTCCCGTCTCATCCTATTTCTTCTTCGTTCCATCCGGCTCTGGCTGTAAGCGTCTTAGCTCTCTGAATTCACGTCTCCAGTCTTTTCTTCAGTCCTCTCCTCCTGCCAAAGTGCAGGATGGCATCTGCACCCCAATTTCACTCTGATGACTTGCTTCTTTATAAGACCTATGATCCCCGATAAGCATTTGGAGAGTGGGAGAGGGCAGTGGAAGAGCGAGAGGAGTTCTCTTCTCTAATTTGCATTTTAAGCAAAGAAGCACGGGAAGGGGAGACATGGCTGGGCTCCCGGCGCGGTGCCTGCGGTGGGTGGGAGTGAAGTGGCCAGGGAACACGCGAGGATCGGCACCGAGTCCTCTCCTTCCCCGGAGTGTTTCCATTCTCCATAAGGAAGCCTCCCAGAGGCCTTGCTTTCACATTCAGTAGGCTATAAATAAGGATGACTTGCCCAGTCCAGGCTCAGGAGACTAATCCTGGAAAAGTAAGCCTCTTTGTCGCTGAGCAGCACTGAACCCACGTGTGCCCCACAGAACAGATAACTGAGTCAAGTGAGACAAACCCAGGATGTCCAGAAAAGAGAGCAACCTCTGGGGGGAGGACTAGAAAAGGTGGGCCTGGGAAACAGATGCGGAAGACCCTTGATGGAAACCGCTCATCCCGCGTTGTCTCCACAGCCTGCCTACGATCGAAAGATGCAGTGCGTGGAGGAGACCGGAGCCTTCTTCGAGCCGGCCCTGGCAGCCTTGTTTGTTCGTGAGGCCTTCGGCCCGAGCACCCAGAGTGCTGTATGTGAGAGCTCTTCCCCAGCCCCCGTCCCTGCACCCCTCCCCACCTAACCCGTCGTCTCCTAATTCTGTTGGCTTTGCCCTTCTTGATGGTGATGCGTTTAAGGAGTCAGGCGGTCACGCAGACAGAACCCAAAGAAGGACACGCTACGTCCCCAGAGTCTGCAGAGTTTGGCCACGGGGCACAAAGGGTACACAACATGCACCAACTTGGACAGGTCACCCAGCTTTCCTGCTCTTGTGTTTCCTCAACCATAAAATGAGAAAACTGAACTCGATGACCTGCAGGGCTACTCCCTGTTTACGATCTTTAAAAAATGCAGGGAACGACCTGAGGATGGGATGATACGATCTTAAGAAGTGAAAATAAATAACTACTGAATACATTTTGAGTGCCTTCCATGTGCCTGGCACTCTTGTCAGCACGTTGCTCGAACTACTTTCATCCTAGCATCATCCTAATTTTATCAAGAGAGAACTAAAGCACAGAGAGGCTAAGTATCAGGCTCCTGATGTTGTCATCCACTCTCCTCCATCGAGAGAAGATACACACTAGATGGTAGGTGGCTGGGGAAGCGATGACTCTACAGGCAGGTTGTAAAGCCAGGGAGACGTCAACTTGTTGGGATGCGGAAGCACCCAGGAAGATGGAGAGAGGAAGAGCACGCCTTAAGAAGGAGGGTTATGAGGACAAGGGTCCCGGTGAGCAGGGACGAATGATGGTCCTCATCCTCCCTCTGCTTTCTGCGTGGATGGCCTGGCTGAGAGTAAGGACCAGGTCTCCGCACCTCAGCAAGCTGCTATCTCCCCACAGAAAGAAACTGTCTCCCCTGTTGACCCTCAGGAGTGACCGGCTCTTCCCACCTTCCCTTTCTGTCTCCACAGATCTTTCTACCCTGGGTTTTTGGCCACCTAGGAAACACCACTTTCTGCTCTCTCTTTCTGAGATTGTCCACCTTCTCTGGCAGCTCCTCAGGGCCAAGGCTGCTTCCCAGAGGCCTAGTGGGCAGGACCCAGGACCAAGGCTGACGCTCATCCTGTTCCTCTGTCCCTGCCCCCTCACACCCACAGGCCATGGACTTATTCACTACCATCAAGCATGCCCTTGTTACCCGCCTCCAAAGCCTTCCCTGGATGGATGAGGAGACCCGGAAGGAGGCCCAGGACAGGGTGAGCCAGGAGAAGGAGTTGAGTGCAACTGAGTATTGGACCAGAAGATCCCCGTGGCTGGAGGAGGGTGCAAAAGGCACAAGGGGACACAGAAAGTTTAAACACCAGCATGCGGCATGCACACCCTAGTGACAATATAAAAGGCAGGGACAGGGCAGTGAGCAGGAGAAATGCCCTGTGACAGACAGGGGACGCTGGGTTGCTTCTACCTCGTGTCTCTCCCTAGGTGACCCAGCTGCAGGTAGAGATGGGGGCCCCTGGCTGGGCCATGACGCCAGCACTTGCCAGCCAGAAATACAGTGAGGTGGGTCCCTGCCCCTGGCCGCCCCGCCTTTGTCCTCAACGTCCTCGCCACCCCTCCACCTGCTGATCTCCTGGAGTGGCAGACCATCCGCTCTCCCTGGGTGGTCCAAGAGAACCCCCTCCTGGCCCCTTGCCCACCAGGCCTCATGGGCAAACAGCCACACTGTGGGTCTTGCCAGCAAAAGAAGGGAACCTTTTCAGGTCACGATGTGTGTGTGCACACATACATGTGTGCATTCCCCTGACCCACCTGAGCGTGTGCATCTGTGTGCGGACCGTGAGGCCTGTCCAGCCCTCTGGTGGTGCGGTGGTATCATGCTAGTTTCCACTGTATGGGGGATGTCCCCGTGTCATGGCGTATCTTGCTGGGTTCCAGTGCATCCAGCGGGCCATGTGGGTGTGCATGTACACTCGTCGCCTCTTGCCTCTTCCCAGGTGCACCTCGGACCCAACTTCCTGCAGTCCTTCCTGAGTGGCATTCAATCCCGTCGAGCCAGAATCATCCAGAGCTTCTTGGAGCCTTTCCCCCACCACAGGTATGAGAGCAAAGGAGACACAGATACCGAATCCCGGAGAAGCCCGCCCATGATTAGCAAGAGAATGAGCCAGCGCCCAGGGAGACAGGAACAGTGAAAGTAGCTGGGTTACTGCCTGTGTCTCGGGGAGAGGCAAGAAAAGATGGAGCTGGTGTTCCTGTGTGCTCTTCCCACAGGTGGCAGGTGTCTCCCTGGGGGGTCAAGGCCTATTACTCAGTATCTGACCACGTGGTGGTCTTCCCCGCCGGACTCCTACAACCACCGTTCTTTCACCCCGCCTACCCGAGGTACAGGCCATTCCATGAGGGAGGGCAGGACATGTCCTAAGAGAGATGGGCAGATGTTATGATGGATGGGACTTGTGGCTGGAGGACTGGGGTTAAAATTGTCACAGGGTTCTGGGGGTAAGACCCGCCCTGTCTCCTTAGGGCTGTGAACTTTGGCGCTGCCGGTAGTATCATGGCCCGTGAGCTGTTGAACATCTTCGACCAGCTCTGTGGGTAACAGTGGGCCGTTGGGAGGCGGGGCCACGGGGAACACGGGCCTAGGGGAGGAGAAGGGGAGGGTGTGCGAGGGCTCCGGGTTGGGCAGTCCTGAGCCTTCGCAGTACCTCTGGGGCCGGCCTGGTCTGTGGCGCCCCCGCGCCCTCAGCCCCACACCAGGCCTCACCGCTTTCTCCCCGGGCCCCGTTTCCAACAGTATTCTCTGGGAACTGCCTGGCTTGTGACACGTACACCCTAGAGAGGGAGCTGCAGTGCCTGGAGAGAGGCTACGCTGCCTTTCCCTCACCCGGTGGAACTTCCTTGGGTGGCTTCCACTCGCCTCTGGAGAGCGCCGCCGACGTGGGGGCGCTGGCCATCGCCCTGCAGGTGACTCATCCCCCAAGGGCCAGGGTCTCCTTTTATCGGGAGGACAGACACCCTGCCCCCTACTTTTCCTTCTTCCATCCTCATGCAAGCACAGCTGCAAAGCTTTCTGCCCTTCACATCCCCCTGAAGAGTCGCCACCTGGGAAACCCGCCTCCTACCGAACAGATCCCTCTTTTCTAGGAGATCCATGGGTTTTCCTGACAAGTCCATTTTCTCCTGTCTCAGACCAATGTGTCCGTGCAAAACTTGGGAAAGGGGGCCGTGAACGGGTTTTGGGCATTGCGTGCAGGGCACCAGGTCTGGAGCCTGAGGGTTCCTCCCTATCCCGCCGCCATATCTAGGCATACGACAAGAGGCTATTATGGCGCCGTGGGGAGGCCACCCTGCCCGACCTGGACCTCACCCCCCAGCAACTGTTCTTCCGGAGCTATGCCCAGGTAGGCAGTCACCATGTCCCCCACGGCTTGCTCTGTGTCAGATGAATTCCCTCTCCGTAATGCTTAAAGAATCTCTTCCTCCTCAGGCACCTGCGACATGTGCCTACCACCATCCTTTCTCACATGGCCCCTGGGGCCTATCCTTCCATATTGCTACAGATTCTCCTGCCGAATTTAGAATCCCCTTCAAACAGCACCTGCAATAACACTACTCCCAAATCCCTCCCTGAGAGGAGCGTGACGTTTTTCCCCTTGCATTTCTTCCCTGGAAATACAAACCCCTTAAAAAATGAGCCTTAACAGGCTGTCTATATACTATGTATCTCCTCAAAGACCTCACCCCTAGGTGTGGTCTGCACCTGGTACAATCCAAGCACCATGTACTAGGTACTCCCTCAACAGATGCTGCCCCCAACTCCTCAGTATGCTTAAACTCCCACTTACAGAATTCTCCCAGTAGACCCCACCCCTCGGTCACTTATAAATGGTCTGATTCCACAGGCCAGGCTCTGTCCCAGATGCCTAGGGCCAGGTTAAATCACCTACAGCTGGGAGATACTCTTCCTTTCTCCACGTGGCCCTCGGTCATTCGCATCCGTAGTCTTGTCTTTGTCGGCTGTCCCTACTTACCACCTCATTGCCAGGTCCTGCCTACTGACTCTTATCTTCCCTGTTATTCTCCTTCCCCGCTGTGGACCTTCCTTCTTTCCCAGGTGATGTGTAGGGAGCTCAGCACGCAGGATTCCCAGGACACTCAGAGCCCACCCACCCTCCGGGTCCATGGGCCTCTGAGCAACACTCTAGACTTTACCAGACACTTCCACTGTCCACAAGGTGCCCCCCTGAACCCCTCCCACCGCTGCCAGCTCTGGTAACCCGGCTCCCAGAGAGAACTCAGTACGGATGTGTCAGTGCCTCCTCCATGGAATCAGGGTGATGTCTCCCCTTCCCTTCTTCTCCAAAAATAAAATCTGGAACTTGGTTTCTGCCTGCGTCGTAATGACTCTTTCCCGCTTTACTCTGTGCCCCAAAGTCATAAAAGGGAAGAGGAGAAACTTCCGAGCAGAGCCGCACGGGCACGAGAAAGGAGAGAACCAATCACGGGTGGACTGGTAGGTCTAATGCTCAGTGACCCAGACGTTGGGCGGTTAAACAGACCAGTTAGAGATGGGAGGGCTTTGATTAAGTCTCACAAATCTGCGCCTGACTGTTTCGCTGGGTTTTATTGCTTTTATTGTAGCTGCCTCCTCCCCCTAATCTGCGGCGCGGAACAAGGCCAAGGGAGGGGCGACCGAGAGGAGGGCACAGGTCTGGTGTCTCCGGCCCTGGAAGACGGAGCTCAGGGCAGGGGGAGGCGAGGAGGGCAGGAAGCCGCGTGTACGTCTCCCTGGGGAGTAGTGACCTGGAGCCCAGGGGACCGAGGGTCAGTATGCTATCATGAAGCTGAGGTAGCTATCCAGGTCCTCACCCAGGGCCCAGAAAACCATCCCATCCTCAATGTCCCTCATAAAAAAACCATGGCACTGGCCAGGTTCAAGCACAAGGCTAGGTCGAATAGGTGTTCGCAAACTGCGGCGCCCTCCACTGCCTTGTCGTCCTCTTGCTGGGCCATGTCCACCTTCTGCCAACTCTCGCCCACTGAGGAGGCCACGAAGTACTCTTCGTACTGCTCTCGATTCTGGTCTGCGACAGGAGCAAGGGGAAGATGCTGAAATACTGATCCTAACCTGCCCCTTGGAAGGGGAAGAAGTGAGAATACCGGAGCAGTTAGGGCCCGGGGCTTTTAACTCAGTTGCCCGCATCCTTATCCTTGACCAGAGAGGTGACGTTCTGTCTGGAGGTGTGCCTTCTGGTCTGTGTGCAACCACAGCTCCAACTCCAGAGCGCGCACACTCCTCTTCCAACTCACACCGCCTCTTCCGAAGCATTTCGTCATTCGGGAGTGGGGGCCCATCTTAGGGAAAGACGGAGAACCAGAGGCCCTGTTCCCAGACAGGTGCATCTGTGCTCCTCCACGTGAAAGCCCCATGCAGTTCCCACTGCCCTGAGCGGGGCCCCACGTGCGGGCCTTTCCCATGCCCCCCTCGCACGGCAATAATAGGGGATCGGGGTACTCTCCCACAACCTGAACCTCTCTCAGATTTCGCTCTAACCTGATAAGTAATCTGAGACCGACTACAAACAGTTCTGGTCCCTAGACTCCAAATGGTGTGCCCCTTTTCTACTCACCTGCAGAGGGTATTTGCTCTTCCTGACTCCTCTCGTTGGGGCCTGGGCTCTCTCTTTGCGGCTCCGCCCCCTTCACTTGCAGCAGCAGGAGGAGGGTTGCCAGAAACGCTGCCCTGAGGAGCTGGGAGCCCAGGGAAGGCATGGGCCTGCCCATTCACTGCCTGCGGCCTTCCTGCTCCCCGGTGCCCAGCAGGCTACCTGCCACCTCCCTCCCCTGTCCCTGTCCCGGCCCTTACCCCTTCCCAGCACTGTTTTCTTCCCTTCCCTTCCATAGGACTTTGACCTCATGAGCTCTGTTACATCACAGCCACGGGCTGACTCACTCCAGTTCACTAGAGAGTTCCATCACTGGGCAAGAGAGTGGAGAGTGGCTGGCAGGGAACGACAGGACCTTTGAGGATGACCGTAGTGGCTCATCCTGGGGAGAGCAACACCAGTGACTTAAGAGTTCGTGATTTGCTTTCACATCCATCACATCCTTCCAGCAAGCAGGTCTCGAAGCAATGGTGTCGGCACACCCATTAGATAGATGAGGATACCGAGGTTCACAAAGCAAATGACTCACCCGCTCGTGATCACACAGACGACAACGAGCCGCTCAAGATGCCGATGAACTCGGTTGATTCTAAATGTCACAGCTCCCCACTCTCCCAGGCAGCCTTTCTCTGAGGAAAGGGGCTGGCCTGGGAGGAAGCCCAGACAACACAGGGAAATGAGAACTGGCAAGTGCTGGGCTGTGCATGGAACTCAGGTCCCCTGAAAATGAGAGAGGAGGAGGGGCAAGCAGTGGAAGGTGGGAGAAGGGCCCATTCATGTGCTGTGTGTGTGTGTGTGTGTGTGTGTGTGTGTGTGTGTCTGTCTGTGAGAGAGAGAGGGAGGGGGAGAGAGAGAGTCAGGACAGAGACAGAGACAGACAGGAGGGTGCCCTGGGCCCAAGGGGAACCCACGCTCTCCTTCCTCCTCCATCCTGGCCTCTGTCCTTCGTACTGATAGACTGGAACAGCCTCTTCCCTCATTGTACATCCTCGTGTTCTCTTAGACACGGAGGAGACATGGTCAGGGGCTCATTCACTGAACTTCTTACGTTGGTAGAAGGAGGCGGTAGAGTCTTCAGAGAAGAAGCGCGGCGGCAGAGGGGCAAGGAGCCCTGAGTAACAGGTCTGGAGAAACCCGCCTCAGTGGCCCACTGCCCCCCTGCCCGTGGCCCCGGTGAGCACACACCCACCTGCTGGCAGTCCCTGGCTGTGGCTAACTACCACCTGCTTCTCGGGACAGAGAGGACGGTTAAGGATGAGGCAGGGTGCGGCTGGGGAGACAGGATGGAGGCCTGCCCTGAACACCAGGAACAGATACAGGCCCTGCGGCCCAGGAGGGTCGCAAGGACAAGGACAGGTAGGAGGAGATGTTAGACACACTCGATTTGTCCCAACGAGCTCACTGCACATTCCAGCCGCACGAACCACCCAACACAGGGGCAGGAACATGCGCAGAAGCATGCACCCTTTCTGGGAGGGGGCATGGCATGTGATATTTCTTCCCACAGGTCTTAACTCGTGTTGCCTATCTCATACACTTCCTGGTGATCCAAGCCAGGTGGCGGGAGGTGGGGCTGGGGGGTAGGACAGGAGGTCACTTAATGGTGGGAGAGGAAAGATTCAAGTAAGCAGGCAACCTTGCTCACCCCTACTTTGGACTCATTGACCTACAGGTCCAGGGAATGATGCTTGGGTGGAAAAAAAATCCTCAAATGTCCTCCTGGCTATTTGGGGGGAGGAGCCTATTTGTTCCCAGAGGAAAGAAAAGCCATCTCCAGCTGGGCGAGCTTAAAGGGGGCAGGTGGCTGGGGGTGGGGAGCATCTTGTGGGTGCAGGAGGGAGTGGAAAGAACTGCTTCTACTGACCACCATCAATTCTGTTGCCCCCCCGCCAGCCTGCCCCACTCCCCGTGCTGAAAAGGAAATATCCTTGAAGGAACCAAGAAGCCTTTTAATTTTTTTTTTATTACAGAAGTATTTAAGAAGTGTGACAAACAAAAAAGGCTAATAGTTCCACCATCCAGCATCACTATTAGTGTTTTCAAGTACAGCATTCACATCCTCCCCCTGTGTGGCCGCCGGCGTGTGGGTGGGAGCGCATTTCCTATAAATTAAAACCCAGTCATCACCCGTGTTCTTCCTCCTCACCCCATCAGAGTAAGAGGCTGGCTGCTTTGGTACCAAGGAACTCTGGGACCTGACATTGCTCCTGACCAGTTGGCACCTGGCAGGCATTACTGAGTCACACTGGACTTTGAGGCATTGTCATGGGGCCAGGAATCTGCTCCCTGAGGGAGAGAGGCTGGGGGGAAGGGGTGGGTCCTTGTCCCTAGGAAGCCAGGAAAGCAGCAGAAGCAGGAGAGGAGACAAAGGCCAGGCAGGGCAGTGGTGTGGAATGTGACAGAGGTGAAGGAGTGGCGGGGAGGAGAACCGGAGGGGAGGAGAGAGAGCTCCTTAAAGATGAAGTTGTTTCTACATCTCCAGTCTACGGCTGGGACAGGTGGGACCACCTGGTTCCCCTCCGAGCGGCTCGTACCTGCCCCTTCCACTGGAGGGAGAGCATGGGCAGGCACAGAAGGGCCCGCGAGAGGGTGCAGACCCCGCAACCCTCCGGGACCCAAGGACGGGGCACACCTGCTCCGTGCAGCTCGGACCGGGCCGCCCCGCACCCACCCCCTCCAAGATTAGCTTTATGGGCTGGGTGCTGCTCCTTTCTCGCGGCCGCCCCGCTTATCAGCCCCATCTACAACCCCCACCCCAACCTTATCGCTCCTCCATCTCCTTAGGCTGGAAATCCCAAGGCTGCAAAACCTATTACCACCTCGCACTGCTCAACCCCCAGCAAAGCAGGAAAACGTCCCACAAGGTGACCCCCGCCCCTGCCCCCAGCCCTCATCTGCCCCTCCACTGGGCAGGCGCGTGCGTTCTCCTTGTCTGGGGCGTTGAGCCTCTACTCTTCCTGGCCTTATGTGCTTCCCTTTCAGTTCTTGTCCTTCTGTAAAGGTCATTTTGTCCATCCTTCAGCTGCTAGGAAAAACTGCTCTCCTTCTTACAGCAAAAGAAGGCAGCATTCCCTTGCTTCTGGGGACCCCCAAGGGGAGGCCCCCCCGCCTGTCTCCGCCCAAGTCTCTCACACCAGTGTGGGCAGAAGCTTCCCCAGAAGCGACAAGGTGTGGCGTGTGGTCCAGAGCTAAGGTTTCCACTTGAAAGCCAGTTCCAGGCTTGCTGCTGGCTGTGGGTAATCACACTCCCTGTCTGCGCTTGGTCTTCCCATTATGAAATTAAGAGAATCCCCCATGTAGTCCCACCTACCTCTTAGGGCTATCGAACGGCCACAGTTCAGTCGTGGGTATGTACCGCTTTGAAAACAATCGGGGGGAGAAAAAGGACTGTGGTATCATGACAGAACGCGCTCTCAGGCTTACTCCTCCCTCTTGCCGTTTTGTTCCTGGGGAAGGACCCAAACATGGGGCTTCTTCCCCCACCTGCCCTCACTCCGAGCTGCCCAGCCTCTGTGAAACCACAGGGTCCCCTGTAGGTCTTCTCTCAGGGTGTCTCTGAGAAGCTGGGAGGGGAGTCACCGTGGGTTTCTCACAAAGGAGGGGCGGGGGGCCAGACCCTATGTGAGAGGCAGGGCGGCGGGGCTGAGGACAGGGATAAAAAGCCACAACGGAGGGAAGCAGCCCTGGCCAGGAGCTCCCTCCCATGCTCATCAGTAGAGGGAGAACCAACATCACTAAGCTCTTAGGATCCTGCTTCACGGCCACGTCCATGAGAGAACAGATGAGCAGGCTGAGGCACAGCACGCTCACCTCGCCGAGGTGCGAGAGCCGAGGGAGCCAGGGCTCTAGCCTGGCTGACGGCCCAGCTGCAGGGCTGGACTTCCTGCTGGCGGCAGCCCTGCCAGACTAGCTGGTAGGACCCAGCTTCCAGGCCTCTCGCCCTATTCCCGGTCCGGATCGCTCTGCCCCACCCCTCACCTATCCAGATCTCAGCCCCAGCCCACTGCCGGGAACAAAGTTCCCTCCCCTCTTTTCCCCTGGCTCCAGGGCAGGGTCTGTGTCCCAGAGGTTTGTCCTAGAAAGAGCTCCTCCCCACTCCAGGTAAAGCGGCTCTCTCCTGGTGAGACAGCCAGTCTCAGTACACGTGCAAGCAATCACACACACCCCCACAGCCGCACGCTGCACACACTACTCTTAACCCCAAGCAAACGCTGCCACTGCCTCGGCAGCTGCTGAGTGCTGGACCTGCTGCTCTGCCTCGCCCATCACCCGCCAGTGCCTGCGAGGAGAGGAGATGCGCGTTCCTCCACCCCAGCTGAGAGGGTCCTGGACCCACCTCCAGAAACTTCTCACCTCCTGGCTGTTCCGAGAGAAAGAGTGGGACCAGCGTCTGGACGAGGCCTATCTGCTGCAACAGAAGAGGTAGGCTGTCCAGTCAGTCTCGCGGCATCCCAGCTCTGGCTGACCCGCAAACCTTCCTGCCCTCTCGGGTCTATCCCCAGAATTCAGCGCCAGGCACTTGGACGTGCCCTTTCCCCCCCACCCACTCATTACATACAGTCACAAAACCCCAGTTGCCCCTCTAGGGGGGATGGTGGGGGTTGGCACGGAGACCTTGAATGTGGATTCTGTAGATTCAGAGGCAGGGGTCTCGCCTGCCTGCCTGATGGGGGAGGAGGATGACGGACCGGAGGGACAAGATAGCAGAAGCCAGTGTGGCAGGGGTGGTTGCAGGCGGGTGCAGGCTGGTGGGGAGCAGGCTGCAGGGGAATGGTTGGGACCCTGTGGGTTTTCGAGGTCTTGCTGGTTGAAGAGAGAGGGAGGAATTAGCATTAGTATAAAGGGAAATTGCTTGGAAAGAGGAGAGTTTTGTTTACCTGGAACTGACCAACGGAGGAGGGAAGCCCAGGGGACACTGGAAAGTCCCCAGGTCAGCTCATTGGCCTTTTATTGAGTCTACTCTGTGCCGCAGTGCGGTGCAGTGCGCTGGGAACCGAGGACACAGACTGATGGAATCTCTGTCTGCACCTGGGATGCTCGGGTCAGGTGGAGCTGATCACCTGGGGGCAGGTCATTTCAAGGCTTGTTAGCCCCGAGGTCCAGGCCCCGGGGCGCAGGCAGGGCAGGGACCCAGCCTGCGGGCGGGCCTCTGCCTTACGGCGTCGGGGCGGCCTTGTCTCCCATTGAAGAGCGGGGAATTGAACTGAACAGGGCAGGTGGCCTCTACAGTTCCACACGGCTCTGGGCCTCAGAAAAGCCCTGCATGCCACTTAATGCGCGTCTGCTGTTATCTTGAGATTCTTAGTACTTTTTAAAACAAGGAGTTCCGCACTCTCGTTTTGCGCTGGGCCTTGTACATTGAGCAGCGGGCTGGGTGCAGTCTAAGCGTCCATTCCGGAAAGGCCTCCTGCTTGCTCGTGGACACCCGCCCCAGGCCCTGTGATGGACGGAACCTTGGGCCTCCCCGCCTCCGTCCCTGCTGCGCAGTGGATTAGGACAGTCTCTGAGACGGAGCTGGGTTCTCGCACCCGCCCTGTAGGGGGGGGCAGTGGGCTGGAGGCCCGGGGAGAAGAGGCTGAGTACAGGGCCCTCCCCACAGGGCTGGACTCGGGAAGCCCAGCCCTGCCGCCCCGAGCTGAGTGCGCTCGGGCTGAGGGTCCAGGTGAGAAGGGCAGGGGCTGTCCCTCACGCTGCCGGTGCCCCCAGAGAGTGCTTCCCCAAATGGGGGCAGATCCGGGCTCCCCCTTGAGATTTAAAAAAGCTGCTTCTTGAAGTGAAACACTTTCTCCCGTGATGACAGGAGGAGAGGAATTTGAGGTTGGGGGACACCATGGTCACCAGTCAGTTTGTTTCTGCCTCACGACCCTCAACCTGCCAGACCCCGCGGTCACCTTGCTAGCCAGCTAAGACTTCCTTGCCCGGCAGGACTGGCTCGGCTTCTCCTGTGTCTGGTTCACCCAGGCGGGGGGAGGGCAGATGCCCCGGGGCGGTGCCCTGGGACAGGCGTCTCCACGGGGCTCTCCTGCCGGCTCCGAGTCGTGCGGTCAGAGAAGCTCCAAGCTGGGCTCTTCCTCAGGTACACCTGGGTCCAGACCCTTCTGTTGGAGGGCCAAACCCAGAAGGAATAGACCCTCCATAACTCACCCCGAACTCTTCCTGCCCCCAGGCAGGGGTAGGTATCCAAACAGCCCAGGGGGGTAATCAGAACTTGAGCAATGCATCAACATCCCCGGCTCTAACACCTAGCCAGTTCTGACTTCCCAAGCTCCCCTTGGTGAGATGGAGCCAGTTCAGCAGGTGAGGGTGTCAACTGGGGACAGAAATTTCACCTCTGACCTGCTCCAGCTCCCCAGGTTCCTGAAATGTTTACACGGCTTAGATGGATTCAGCCAGACCTAGGGCTTCCTCTCCGAGCTGCCAGGGCCACCCGCCCGTTCCGTAGCCCGGGCCGTCCTCCCCTGGGCGCGGCAGCCCTCTGCTGAGCCTCCCCCTCAGTGAGCCCCGACGCCCTGGTCTGGAAGGACCGCGTGTGATGTGAGGCCTGTCTCTGCTCTTGGCCTCGCTGCAGCTCTGCCGCTGCTTGACGCCTCCTGTTCACCTCCCCGCAGGATTCGAGAATCGCCACTGCTCTGGGCAGCCAAGAACAATGACCTGTGCGCCCTGAAGAGACTTTTGCTGGACAGAGCCTGCGACTTGCGACAAAGAGGTGGGCTCAGAGTTCGCTGGGATGGGGACGGGCCCCAAGGCCAGGTCTCCCGGTTCCTGCAACGGGGACAAGGGGAAGGTTTGACATCCCTGTCCTGCTGTGCTCCAGGGGCCCTGGGGGAGACGGCGCTGCACATAGCAGCCCTCTACGACAACCTGGAGGTGGCCATGGTGCTGATGGAGGCCGCCCCGGACCTGGCCTTGGAACCCACCCTGTATGAGCCCTTCGTAGGTGAGGAGGTGCCCAGGTTCTCAAGGTGGGAATGAAGGGGGGTGGGTCTGCATGTGAGGGCCCCCGAGTTGGGAGGAATACAAAGGTTCTGGTCATGGCTTTCATAGCTTCCTTCAGCCATTTATTATTTTCCTTCGACCACTTTCATGTGCCTGGACAGACAGGACTCTCTCTCACAGCAATACTAAAGTGATTGGAATCATGCCCCACACCCACCAGCCACGCCGTAGACAGGCAAGGGACTCAATCCCCTAGGCACCAGGCCACTCTGCTGAGCCAAGAGTAAAAATACATTTAGGGACATCCTGCAAGCTAGCTAGGTGGATGGTGTGCCTGAAGGAATTGGGCACAGACCCCCACGACCGAGGGCTCTCTCTGAACCAGGCCAGACTGCGCTGCACGTGGCCATCCTGAACCAGAACGTGAACTTGGTGCGAGCCCTGCTCGCCCACGGGGCCAGCATCTCTGCCAGAGCTACAGGCTCAGCTTTCCGCCACAGCCCCCACAACCACGTCTACTTTGGTGAGAGCCGGGGTGGGCCCGGGGGGAGGGAGGTGAGTGGTGGGCAAGAGAGGGGGGCCCTGTGCCCCGTGCCTGGGAGGCTGGGGGCAGGGTCCGCCCTGAGAGGGCCTGAGGCCAGAGCCACTCCCGCACCCACCCTGCCTCTGGTTCTGCTGACGGGTGTCCCCAAGCCCAGCACCGAGAGGAACTGGGGAGGAACTGGGGAGGAACAGGCAGTCCCTGGGAGGATTCACGCCCCAGCCCGCACTCACGCTCCAGAGCCCTCCGTGTCCCCAGGGGAGCACCCTCTGTCCTTCGCTGCCTGCGTGGGCAACGAGGAGATCGTGCGTCTGCTCATCGAACATGGAGCGAACATCCGGGCCCAGGACTCCCTGGGTAAGCGCTGGGAGCAGGAAGCGAGGGGCGCGGAGGGGCTGGGACAGTGGGTCCAGTGGCCACGTGACACCCGTGTCGTCCCCCAGGAAACACAGTGTTGCACATCCTCGTCTTCCAGCCCAACAAGACCTCTGCCTGCCAGATGTACAACCTGCTGCTGTCCTACGACGGGCGCGGAGGCCGCCTGCAGCCCCTGGACCTCGTGCCCAACCACCAGGGCCTCACCCCCTTCAAGCTGGCGGGCGTGGAGGGCAACACTGTGGTGAGGGGCACGCCCCCAAACCCACATGCTGTTCTCATGATCCTTCTCCCAAACTCCCCAAAAGGGTGCTGGTCCCTCACTTCCAACTCTGTCTCTAAAAGGCACAGCCTTGGGAATCCCCGGCTCAGGAGGACCTGAGATGTGTCCTTTAGAAGATCTGTAGGGAACCCCAAGTCCTGCTCCCTTTGCCTGTTCTCTTCTTTCAGATCTTCATACAGTGTGTGGGAAGAAGAGATAACCAAAATATAATACATAGGTTCATGTAATCAAAGGCTTGCCAACTCAGAACTGTCGGTCAGTCCCAAGGAGTGGGCCCCCGGCTCTTCAACGGTGGTGGTGGCCCCTTGACTGGCTTCTCCCCCACCAACCCTCCAACTCCCTGCTGTGTCCTCACAGATGTTCCAACACCTCATGCAGAAGCGGAAGCACATCCAGTGGACCTGCGGGCCGCTGACCTCCACTCTCTACGACCTCACAGAGATCGACTCCTGGGGGGAGAAGGTGTCCTTTCTGGAGCTGGTGGTCTCCTCCAAGAAGCGGGAGGTACGGGTGCCGTGGAGGGTCTGGGACTGTCACGTGTCTGGGCAGAGTCCATCCGTTTGCTGAGGTTCTGGGCTCCGGACACTCCCTCACCTGATAACAGATGGATGTGATACGCCTGGGGCCTTTGGGAGAAAAGTCCAATCAACCAATCAGCACCTTTTCCTGACCACACTCTCCCTCTGCTGAGCTGTAGTCCCTTTCCCTTACCTTTCTCCTACTGACATTTCAGCTGAGGAACTCTCCAAACAGACATTGCTTCCTATCATTCATTCATCTATTCATTCGTTCATTCATTCATTCATTCAGCATCCTGAGCACCTTCTGTGCCCCACGCGCTGTACAAGGAACTGAGAATACAGAAATAAATAAAACACAGTGCGGGGTATCTTCCTCAATAACTGCGGTAGAGCACAAACTAGACCACCCCCGGGGGTCTGTGCTGTGCACAGTGGCAGCAAAGTGGAAGCTGGGTGGGCCAGAGACAGTGTCCCCGGAGTAGGTGAGCTGGGGCTTCAAGGGGAGCTGGGAATCACCAGGAACAGGAGAAAAAAGAGAGCCTTGCAGAGAGGGAAAATCAGGGGCCGCCCAGACAGGGCCGAGCTGAGTGACCTGAAGGAAAGGAAAGTGTGTTCAAGACAAGGAGAGAGGGGAACATGCTTCCAGCTTCCGGGAACCTCCAAGACAGTGGCCAAGTATGGCTTGTGCTGTTTATCTGCTAGTTGATAATTTCCTAGAAAACTTTCTAGAGCCATAAACTCAGATGATGGTAAGTACTGATGAACGGAACAAAAAGGTGAGTGGCTGACACACTATGAGCTTCCTCATAAAACATTTCTGGAAACAGATAAACTTTGTGCAGGATTTCTTAGGAACTAGAGCCTCAGCCTCTCGGGTAGACGGTTTCAGCACAAATTCCTGGTCTCGGATTTCAGCTGGCTCTCAATGTTCTCCCGTAGGTCTGGTCCTTGTCTTCGTCGGCCCGTTTCCTCTTCCTTCAAGATTCCTTTCTAGCTCCCTTTCTATCCCGCACTGCCTTCCGCCTTACTTCCATCAGAAGACCCAGGCTCCTACCTTATGGCTGGAGCCTCTTGACCCTCCTGCCCTGTCCTGCCAAGCGTATCTGGGCCCTGGGCTCCGTCTCTCCTCTCTAGGTTCAGTGGAAAAGATATTCTTTTCGCCAATGGTTAATCTCTCCAACTGTGCTTTGAATTTTCCTTTTTTTCTGCTTTCTCAGATGCCCATCACCCTCTCTCATTTGTATCTTTACCTTTTCACTATGTAGTTACAGCAGAGCACCAGCCCACCTGGCTTAGGCCAGTGCCCTGTTCTACGACCTGGGTCCTCTATCGCTCTTCTCCAGACCACAGGACTTCTAGAACAAACTTGGCTACTTTCTTGCTTGGACTCCCAGTTAATTCCCATTATGTTCAGAAAAAAATTTTCAAACTCCCCACCTTAGCGTTCAAGATGTAGGGTGATCTGGCCGTTATCTAATTCACTCACTGTAACTCCTGCCCATCACCCCCAACAGGTTGCCCCTTATCCCCAACCACACCTCTCCTGCAAGTGGCTTCGCATACCTCCCTGCCTCGGCAACTGCTACTACTGCATGGGATGATCTTCCCAACTCTCCTTTCACTCAACTCTCCGCTGCTCATCCTGCAAAGCCTCCCCGATGCTACAGTGTGTTGTGTTCGATTCTGTAGTAGTTTACCTGTAGCAATAGCACAAGGCCTAGCGTATAGTAGAAATTGACCGGTTGCCTGTAAAATAAAATGACTGATTCACTACTGATTGAAAGATGTAATAGCTGGTGAGCGCCCTGCCCGCCTGGGGACCCAGTGGGAAACCCAGCACTATGCACTGTGTTGGTCCCCCCAGGTGACGTTCTCCTTCCACGGCAGGCTCGCCAGATCCTGGAGCAGACGCCCGTGAAGCAGCTGGTGAGCCTCAAGTGGAAGCGCTACGGGCGGCCCTACTTCTGCCTGCTGGGCGCCCTGTACTTGTCCTACATGGTCTGCTTCACCGTGTGCTGCGTCTACCGCCCCCTCAAGTTCCGCGATGGCAATCACACTGCGTCCCGAGATATCACCATCATGGAGCAGAAGCCACTCCAGGTGACTCTTCGCAGAGGGGATGAAAGGGAATGGAAACACGGGGTGCTGGTGCTGGGGACCAAAGTGGTACTACCCAGGAAAGACACCGTTCCCTGGGCTCGAGCAGCTGCCAGGTCCTAACCACCCAGACAGAAATTGGACGCGAGGTTAGCGCACCACGAAGGAGGCTTATGGGTAAAAGTACACTTGTCCGGGGAGCTGTGGCTTCTCTCATTGACTGTGAAAGCGTGTTCGGTGTTGGGAACAGTGTGCCTTGGTGAAATTCCCCTCAGTGTACAGAGAGAACCCGTCTTCTGTAAGGTGAACTTGAACAGGGAAACCCTGCTGATCCAAAGGGAGGGAAAGCGTGCTCCAAGTCCACATCTGAGTCCATTTCTGGTCTGTGAGGGCAGCGCGGCCCTTCTGCTTTGCATTCACTTCCGTGTACCGTTGATACGAGCACATGAGCAGGAATGTGTCCGTTGTCCAACACGCTGCAGGAGGATGCTTGGACTGCAGGGCAGGCCGAGGCAAGTGATCTCTGAGGTCCTTTTGACTCTGGTGGGCTTGGCTCCTGGGGTGCCCTTCAGAGACTTGGGTGGTAAGGACGCTAGCGGAGGGATGAGGAAATGTAAGAGCTGCCATTGAAGGAAGCAAACCCTCCTTTGCATGTAACAGGATGAGTAGACTAATGAGTACTTCTGAGCATAGACCTTCTACAAGCAAAGCTCCACTGGACTGGTTGATTATTCATAAGATAACTTTTTTTTCTCTGAAAAGAGCTGAAAGGGGTTGCAGGCATGTGGACAGAAAACAAAAAAGCCAAAGACACAGGAAGAAGAATTTAGCTGGGCAAGTAGGAGCTACGTGATTGGAGATTTGTGCTCTGTGCAGGATGGGCCAGCCAAGGGTACAGCTCGGGCTGCAGTGGGGTCAGAAAGAGAGCGTGAACTGCCTGCTGGTCCAGGCCCAAAGGTGGACCAAAGTGAGAGGGAGCAGGGACAAGGCTCTCACTCAACCCAAAGTAGGTCAAGATGCTCTATCTCTCCTGCTTCTGTAACTGCCTCTCAATACATAGGTAGGTATCCAGAGCTCCTGTCTCCCACAAAAAAGGGTTAGTTGACTTGTTAGAGGAGGGCATGGGCACTCGGGGGAGGTTGTGTCCCATGCATCTCAAACTGGGCGTGAGCATTGCCCCTGGTGTGGAGCCCACACGGGGGATACAAGGTCATCTAGAAGATGGCCACGGGGGATGGGCAGGAGACTCAAAACAGGAGAAGGTTGGGGGTGGCTGGACTGTCCAGCATCGAGGGCCCAATTTTCACAGATGTGCTCTTTCCCAGCTTTCCTCTGTGTCAGGCTCACCTGGGGCTTTCTGGATCTGGAATGCAGATAACGTTCTGGCCCAAGAGTTGGGTAATGCTGAGCAATTAATTAGCTCCAAGTTTCTTCCCTGTGTGACTCTTTCTCTTTGGGGCAGGACTAATTATGTACAAACATGTTCCTTTGACCCAGATAGTCTACGTTGTGTTTTAAAACTCCTCCCCTTCCCTCAGGACTAGGTGAAGTGTGATAGCTGACTGTACCTAGCTATTCTCTTTTTCCTCCTATTCCTTCATTTTCCTCTTTAGCACTTTTACCCCATGCCTTCTACTCAAGCAAAAGCCACTTTGGCCCAAATAGGAGACTCTTGACTTTCAAATATTCTTTTCTGGTGGGAAATGGGGACTAAGAGGGCTAAGAATGCTGCTCTGAGGGGTTTGGATAGCAAAGCATACCAATGAAAGGTTCCTATTCTTTGGCATTTCCACTTGAGACCTGGTCTGGAGTTTATGGGCTATTTGTGTTCCTCTTTTAGGGTGAACAGATTTGAGGGGGCCAGGGAGAATAGGGAGATCAGTTAAGAGGTAGTTAGGGGTCCACCAGCAAGATGCAATGGTCGGTTGGTTGTCCTTGGCCTGTGAGTGGGAAATCAGGAGACAGGGTCGGCATCAGGAGACAGGGAGGGTAAAATCTTTGCTGCTGTGCCATGAATGGGATGCAGAGAGCAAGGGGGAGGACCATGGCAGGAATGACGTGTGGGTAGGTTTCCATTCATTTTATTTGTTTTTTAGTCCTCATTCAAGGATATGTTTATTGATTTGAGAGGGGTTGGGGGGGAAAAGAGAGAGAGACAGAGAGAAACATCAGTGTAAGAGAGAAACATTGATTGATTGCTTCTCATACGCACTTCAACTGGGGATCAGACCCACAACCTAGGTATGTTCCCTGACTGGGAGTTGAACCTGCAACCCTTTGGTAAAGGGGATAATGCTCCAACCATCTGAGCCACCTGGCCAAGGCTCCATTCATTTTAAATCATTATCTGCCTGTCACGGTCAGGGGATTGATTTGCCTACACACCATTGTTTCTTGTAAGCTCTCAATGACCCTGAGCCCCCCTGCTACTGGAAAACCCCACTGATCTCCAGCACTACACTACTTGGCTTAGGGGTCCTATCCACTTACTGTGAACAGTCAGAGCCAATTAAAGGCAGGGAAGGAGATGAGGAGAAGCAGGGAGCCTGCTGGGTAAAGGGAATGTCTACTGAGTGCTTGCTTGGTGCTCCGGAGATCCTGTGAACATGAAGATTCTGGAAGCAAGGCTGGGGCGGGACCTGAGATTCTGCATTTCTGACTCACTGTTGGGCAGTGCTCTGATTTTGTGAACCCCGTTTTGGATGACAAAGCACTTTTATAGCGTTTGACCTTTTTAGATATCCCAATAAGTAAATAAAGTCATTATCTCCATTTTAAAGACGGTGACTCTGGAGTCAAGGAAGGTTAAGTACTTTGGCAAAGACTCAGGTGGGGAGGGCAGTGCTGGGCCTGGGGTTCTGGCCCGCTTTGCTCAGCACCCTCCCCCTTAATATGAAGTTAGGCCATTTCTCCCTCCAAAGTCATGCCCTGGATGTCAGCCCTCTTTCTGAGAAATGCCTGTCCCCAGTCTTTGCCCTGAGCCTGGGCCTGCCACACTTACCTTTACCTGGCCACACCTAACCTTCCTCTGACAGGACGAGGGACACTGGGGTGCAGGGGCACGGAGTCACATATGGCAATGCCTCCCACCCCCAGCTACCAGAGCTACTTTGTAGATTTGATAATAGGCACCATTTTTGATGTGGTTAACCTCTTGGCGTACAGTGAAGTCCTACTTCTGTGGTCAGAGCTCCTCTGTGGAGAGTAGAAGCCTCTCAGGTTAATCCTCCTAAGGAAATGTGGAGACCAGGACATGAAGCAAATCCTTGGAAAGTAGCTTTAGACAGAAAAGGGGACCTTTGCCTCTCTTGGGGGCCCAGTGGGTCTCAATGCGGGGTACGTAGCAGAAACACCTACGTCTGAAAAATAATGGTAGGCCTCTGATCCACACTAATGAAATGAGAGTGTCCAGGGTTTGCCTGGGCATGGGTGTGGGACAAAAATGTCCCAGTTGTTTCTGATGGGCAGCTTGGTTAGAAACCTGTGCACGGTAGAGGATTAGAATAACAACTGCATTACAAGCCAGTAAGACTCTTTCTGGGAGCTTTATGCTTTGCAAGACTGGGATCTTGGGGAAGATAAGTGGGTCTAGGACTGGGGCGTGATGACTTTTTCTGGTGCCCTCCCAACTTCCGCCCAGGTTTCTCATGCTGCCCAACTTTACCCCTCGCCGGGCATTTGCTTCAAGGCTTGTGCCCAGCCAGCTGATAAGTGAGAGCAGTCTCACTGGGCCAGTTCTCACTGAAGTCAGCCTCTGCAGGGGATTGAGCTGACAGCTCCTAAAATTTCAGGCCATGTGTTGATGTAAAGACTTCTGGTCATTGCTGGAAGGCATTTGTTTTTAAAGAGGTGGGGTGGAATATTTTCTCAATGTAGCATTAGTCAAGCCTGCTTAGGTGACCTTGAGCTACGAATCTGAAAATCCCAGAAATACGCAACTAGTTGTCACCTTTCTCCCCATCCCCACTTTGTGAGTGCTCTTGACCCCTCTTCTGCCCCTCTCAGAGAGTGCTCAGCTTGTAACTTCTCCTCTCCCTCCTTCCTTTTTTCCTTTCTTATTATTGGGATACCTGCTATGTTGTGCGTTGTGGACAAGACGTCGGAGTTAGACGTCCTTGCTCTCAGAGAGCTCTAAGATTACTGGTGACCTGGAGCACCAGACAATGTCGAGGTGCTGGGTGAGGGCCATGAGCAGAGAGTGGCACCATGTGCCCACAAAAGAGACACCTGACCCTGGAGGAGTGCTGTGACTTAAGTCTTGGGGATTAAGTAAGGGTGAGCCAGGAAAATGTGGTCGAGGAAGGAGACTGTAGCACTCTAGTGTCTGGTTTAAGGGAGGGGACCTTTGATGACAGAGTGGTGGAAGGAACTTCTTTTTAGGGTGATTGGGTCCCAGGTGGAGCTGAAGCAAAGTCTGGGGTCTCTGGACCTCTGATACTCACTGGCGAACTCATGCAGGGGAATTCCTACCTGTGTAGGAATCTGTTGAACAAGCTAAGGGTCCTAGTGAGGGGAAATCCCAGAAGGAGGTGGTGGTGGTGGAGACTGTCCCCAGCATTCTCCCTTCATTGGGGTTTCACCTTTTCGTCTCCCGAGGGAATGGGTGATGCTACTCTCCCAGCATCCCCTGGGGGGACTTGGGTCCCCCACCACTCACCTGGCCAACTTGTGCACACTTGGTTCCTTTTCTCCTTAGTTGAGCCAAGGAAAGATTGCTGGCAGTTTTGCAGATGTCCTCAATCGGGAGACAAGTTTTCAAATGAGTTTGAAAATTTTGTATGGACACATATATGGCATAGATGCAGTTACTGATTTCTATATTTACATGTTATTTTTTTCTATAGTTAATGTACTTATGTATCCTACTGCATACTACCTGGTCTCAGAAGGAATTGGCATGTTTGACAATTGGAGGCAGATGCCATGACATTAAGATAAAGGACAAGACCCATGAACTGAATTTCAGGTCAGAGGAGAGGTTATTCAAAGTACTGTATTTTGCCGTGGATAATGCCCACCCACATTTTTGGTTTAAACTTTCAAGAAAAATCTTTTATTTCAATTTTTTAATTAAATTTTTAATTTTTTTTATGTTTAGATACTTGTTTTTTGAATTATAGAGGAATTTTAGCATTTATTTTTGAACATATTATGGGACATGAAATTTTATGCAACAAATAATTACAAAACACAAGAACAAGATACACATTATTTCAGGCACTACCCATGTAAAATGTGCGTCCTTAATTTTTCCCTCAAAAATTTGGGCAAACAAGTGCGCATTATACATGGCAAAATGTGGTAGCAGCTAGCACTGGAGATAAAGAAAGAACTCTGAGCTTCCTTGGAAGCAAGGGAAAAGGGAAATTCCCCATTATATGATAAAATAAAATATACCAGTTTCTCAAGAGAGAATCGCGCCAGAGACATTTACAGATCGTCAAGTCTTTACATGACAAAAAAGTAACGAGTCGAGTGCCAGGTTGTTCGATCACACTGCTCTCCAGGCACACAGACACCAACCCCTCTCCTCATCTTTCCCGGCCCCACGTGATGGACTCAAAACATTTCTACCACCTGCTGGCCAGTCTGGCCCTACTCTTAAGGGCTACCTCCTTGGCTTCTTCTGAAGTGACCTACCCATTCTGAGCAGCCACAGGGCCCTTGGTGGGTGCCTCCTTTATGCCACAGATTACCTCTTACCACAGGGCCTCTCCTCCTGTTTCAAAGGCTATGCCTCTCCCTGGACCAGCAAGGGCAGCGCTGAAGCAGCCTGCGAAGGGATGTCAGAGGTCACAGTTTCTTAGCAGAGGAAATATGCTCAGCGTCTCTGATGCCTCAGGAGCCGTCACAGCCTCCCCAGTTGAGACCATCAACCTTCCCACTGGCCCCGGGGGCCCTCCCCTCCTATCTCGGGTGCACTGTTCAGAGATGGGACCTTGGAGCACAGTTCCCAAAAGCCGGAAGGGTGCTTGAATGTGCTAAAATAGTTTGTACGATTTTATGTCGGGGTGACATCCATGCGAACAGTGTTCTAGAAGGAGGGGCTGTAGTCTTTACGCAATTCTCAGACGGGCTCAGAACTTTACAAAGGTTAAGGGTTGTTGTTGTAGAATTCTATCAGTGCGTCTGTATCATGTTACAAAGCCTTTCACTGGAAAGGACAGTGATGTGCCCAGGAGGATGGTCTTCTCTCCATCTAGACCTTAGGGGCATACCGTATTTTTCAGACCATAAGACGCACCTAGGTTTTAGAGGAGGAAAATGGCGGGGGCGGGGGGAATTTTGAAGCAAAAAATATGGTAAAATATTTAATAACATAAATAACCCAATATTTCACCAATGTAAATGTAAACAGAATGCAACAGCAGCATTAACAACCATTATTCCTCCCAAATGTGGGTGGGGGATGGCATCATATAGTCTGAAAATTACGGTACTTTCTACACCTACTGCCCAGGATAAGGCAGGGACCCTTCCTCAGAACTAAAATCCATATGTCTCTAGCACCCCCACTTTATTAGCAACTGCCCTTTATTGCCAACTCATAATAAAACCACAACAAATACAACTGTGGTACTTTATGGTTTATAGTGCATCCGAATACATCATCTAATTTCAACTTCACATTAAGCCCGGGGAGGTACCCATCAGAGTTTCCACTTCACAGGTGAGAGACCTAAAGCAAGGGGAGGTTGAGAGACTGACTCAAGGTTTTGCCAGAGCTTGTGGGTTCTGGCCTCAAGTGGGAAACTGAATACCATGATATGTTTATAGTCTGTTCTTCCTGCCGGGAACCACAATGAGATTGGAAAAGCTGGACTTTCCACATAGATGAAACTCTTCCAAGCCACTAATACCTCTTCCTGTTACAGTAAGTTTCTTAACCTGATGCTCTGAAATGTGATCTTGGTGGATGCATTCTAAGTTACCACTCACCACATGTACACGACAGGTGACCTGGGAGGGGATACCTCAAGTGGTCAGCATAAGCAGCCCGATTAAACCTTGGCCACACACTGATGTCCTGGTCACAGAGCTGGCCACGAGGACAAATACCATCAAGGGTTGGTGGTGGTGGTGGTAAGGTGAGCTTTTCTTCATCCAGGATAGACTTGAGTTACTTTAAACCGCTTGCCCAAAAGGATTGGAGTCTCACTCCGTCAGAAAGCATTTCTCACCTGGAGTTTCCCCTCCTAGGAGGCCTATGTCACGGAACAGGACAAAATCCGGCTGGTGGGGGAGCTGGTGACCATCATCGGGGCCCTGATCATGCTGTTCCTTGAGGTGAGGTGCAGATGGGGTCCAGGCTGAGTCCACCCTCCAAGACCCCAGACCAAACTGCATTCTCCATGGTCTTTTGTTTTCCTCGCCTCTTCCTAGATCCCAGACATCTTCAGGGTCGGCGCCTCTCGCTATTTCGGACAGACTGTCCTCGGGGGGCCATTCCATGTCATCATGTGAGTGTCCCTTCCTTCCAGCCCATGCCTTCCCTCACCAGAACTGTTGGAACCTCAGCTGATCCCCCCGTGTGTGTGTTTTAGATATAAAAACTAGGCCTGAGTGTGTGGGTGCCCCCCGAGTTACAATGGTGCTGGAGGGGACCTAGACTATTGCCAGCCCTTCTCTTACTCCCTGCCCCCTGCTCTTCCCCCTGCAGCATCACTTCCGCCTCCCTAGTGCTGGTCACCATGGTGATGAGGCTCACTGACACCAATGGGGAGGTGGTGCCCATGTCCTTCGCCCTGGTGCTGGGCTGGTGCAGTGTCATGTACTTCGCCCGAGGGTTCCAGATGCTGGGCCCCTTCAGCATCATGATCCAGAAGGTCAGCACTTCCCCCCAGGCTTCCTCTGGCCTCAGCCATGGGGCTTCCCCAGACCTAGGAAGGGAGAGGGAACAGAAAGGAAAATGCTGCTCAGGGAGGGTCTGGAGGGGCTATGGGGACCTTCTCATCTATTAGCCATAACTGCCGAGGCGGAAGAGGGATCACCCCACCCTCTCTCCTCTTCTCTGTTTCCTGCAGATGATTTTTGGAGACCTGCTGCGTTTCTGCTGGCTGATGGCCGTGGTTATTATGGGATTTGCCTCGGGTAAGAGCACAGCGCCCTCCCCTACTAGACCCTTGGATCCAAGCCTCTGGATAGTTCACTCTCACTCTTGCTCTCTGTTCTTACTTGCTCACCCCCCCCCCGCCCCCGCCACCATGGAGATTGAGTCCAAAAGCGTGCTGACGTGCACAGAGTCAGGGCCACTGAGACTGGCCTAGAAGGTAGACCCATGTGCTCTGAATCTCTGAACCAAAGGCACTCATGTTGCCTGACCGCACCGCAAGCTCTCTAAAGGACAACGTGGGAAAAGAGCTTTGGGGTGAGAGGGACAGTAAACAGGAAAGACTGGCCACTTGTGTATCTTTGGAGATGGTGTAGGCAAACAGAGACAGAGCAGTGCTTAAGTCTTCTCTCTTTACACTCCAGAAGAAGAAACACGAAGCGTTCAGAAACACATACCATGCTTTTTTGCTAGGAGTGGTCAAAATGGAAAGAATTCTCAAAAGGGCATAGCAATAAAAACATTGGGAAAGCTTGAAGAGCGCGAGAGGAAAACAGGCGGAGAGTTGTGCAGAGACACTGGGGAGAGAGAGGGAGCGGGGGCTCACCGGAGGCCCCAAGGTGCAGTGGGAGGATGCCAGAGGGGGAGGGAGGATCGCAGCGAGGAAATGGGGGAGGGGGCACGGGGACAGGGAGAGGGATAAGAGTGGGACAGGTGTAAACAGGGTAAGCAAATGAATAGAAGGACGTTTTTAGGGAAAGGCACAAAAAGGAAGGAAGAGCAGAGGACGGCAAGTCTAATCTAATCTTCAGTGTCTGCAACTGTACATCCATAAGACAAGGGGGTGTACTAGAGGACATTGGAAGATCCCCCAACTCTAAAAGACCAGGACTCAGTACAAACACCACTCTTCCTGACCTAGGGATTCCCTGTTGAACAGGGATCCCACAGAACAGTAGACCAAAATAACTGTACCAACAGCTGAGCTATAAAAGGGTAAGACTGTAAAAACTTATATGTATGTATAATTTTTTGCTCAGTGACTGAGTATTAACATTATCCAGAGTAATAGAACATCTCAGGATTAGCCAGGTCTGCAGATAAAATGTGATCTACACATATACATTGACATATCTACATTTATGGGTGTGTAAGTTTGTGTGTGTGCACAAAAGTGTATGGGGATATATGTTGGAGGTAGAATGGATGCTTATTTTGATAACTCTTTTTTCCTCACCTCCATTCCCTTTTCTTGGGTGGGGACAGCCTTCTATATCATCTTCCAGACACAGGACCCAAGCAAGTTGGGGGAATTCTATGACTTCCCCACAGCGCTGTTCAGCACCTTCGAGCTTTTCCTCACCCTCATCGACGGCCCCGCCAACTACAACGTGGACCTGCCCTTCATGTACAGCCTCACCTACTCTGCCTTCGCCATCATCGCCACCCTGCTCATGCTCAACCTTTTCATCGCCATGATGGGCGACACTCACTGGCGGGTGGCCCAAGAACGGGACGAGCTCTGGCGGGCTCAGGTGAGTCTACCAGCATTTGTCTGACGAAGGCGCAGGGGATGGAGAGAAAAAGCAGAATGTGATGTTATGGTGGGTGACTCTTAGGAGAGTCACAGAAAACCCAGCAGGGCTGTCACCTTCACAGAGATACATTTGGATAGACGGAGGGGATAAAATGGTGGCAATGGGTAGGATCAACGCCCAAGAACGAAGGGCACTGGTTGCAGGGCAAGAATAGATCAAGTAGTCATGGTAGAGTCCAGTGACAACTAGAAACTGTCCTGTTCTTATATATCGGTTCTTCAGTTGGACCTTATCTTCTGTTGGCTTCTGTAGGGCCCTGTTTCTCTGTGGTCTGGTTTTTTATACACCATCATAGGCTACCAAAATTGCAGAGTCGGTGATGTCTTTAGTGCCCTCTGGCTGACTCTCTACCCCATGTATAATCGTTTATTGGTCAGAGGGTCAGTTAATATCATTTTAAATGCTGATTAGGATCTTATTATCCCATAGATTTGGGCAGTGTTTGGGAGGAAGAGAGTTTATTTCACATTTAAATTTTTTTTTTTTTTTGCTGTTGTTGTTATTGGAAAAGCCCATGTTACACTGAGCTGAAACTTATCTTTCTACAATTCCATTCTTTGGTCCCAGTCTTTCCTTCTTGTCTCATGCAGAACACACTCTCCCAAATGAGCACCATGCAATGATTTTCACACGGTTATTGTTTAACCCTGCCGACTTTTCATTCATGGAACAATAATTATTTAGAGCCTGCCGTGAGCTGGGAAGTGTCCAGGAACTGGGAGATACAAGCGTGAACACCCCAATGCACTCTGTACCCCCCTGGAATGTACAGCCTGTTTGGGAAGACAGACAGTAAACAAATGGCTTCTGAGAAGGCTGTACCGTTGTAATAAAAGTGTCACGGAGACGTAGATGTTGAGGACAAAGTGCAACGGAGGAGTCTGACGGGAAAGTTAGCAAGTACTTTCCTGATGAGGACATTTGAGATGAGCCCTAAACACGGGAAAGAATTAGCCAGTTAAGACAAGGGAAAGGGGCAGAGGTTAGGGTTTGCATCCTTCAGGATTCTTGGCTCCAGAACAGAAAATCAGACTCAATTAGACTTTAAAAAGGCAGTGGAGGAGCCTGTGCTGGTCGTCATGAATGGGAAGTTTAAAGCACTGAACTAGCTTTGGGCCTGTCTGACCGGGGCCCAGGCCCCAATTTCACACACTGTCTCAGCTGTACCGTTCTGCTTTCTTTTGTCCGGCTTCTCTAAGGCAGTCTCTCCCATCGTGGTGGTGACACAGCTTAGAGAAGCCCTAAACTCCCAAAGGAACGAGCAGGTGTGCTGCCCAGCACCATACCAAGGGCACCGTGCCTGTTGCACTCTGGGTACCTCCTGACACTGTGAAATATGCGCTTTTGAAGGGACATCTTTCCCCCAGAGAACCCAGTCTAAGTCCCATATCACTGCAACTAGTCGGAGTCATAGGCACATCCTTAAAGGACTAGATAATGGTGGTGGTGGCGGAAGAGGAGTCCGGGGGAGCATAGACTAACCAACCAGAATTGTGTGCGGACAAGTCTACTCGAACGGATGGACTGAGGGGAGAGAAGAGGTGATTCTCTAAATGAAAGATGGGCTGAAAGGTGGCCCAAAGAGAAACAATAAATGTCCCTTTTAAAATAAGGAGGGAGAAGAGCTATCCAGGGAAAGGGAAGAGAAAGATTGAGATTCCCGAGGTTGGAGGGGACTTTGGTGCAACTAAGAAACGCAGAGAAGGTCAAGAGAAGTATGGAGGAGGATGGGGAGCTCAAGAGCAGAACGTGGAGAATCGGGCTTTTTAAAGGATTGGCAGTTCCTTCCATTAACAGAGCCTCCTGGCCCCAGTCCATCCCAAAGGCACCCTCTGTTCATGCCCTGATACATCATGGGCCTTTCAAAACTAGAACGGTCCTGATACAATCGGAGGAATGCGGTATGAAGAGTGGGCATGCCCTTCCTTGCCTCGGACACTGTACTATAAATAGCGCCTAAAACTGCTTTAGGTCTTTTGGTAAATACACAATTGGCCCTTATTAAGCTTATGATCAACTAGAACCCTGTATCTCTGTTACACAAATCACTAAAGCCCAGCTCCTTCACTGTGTTCCTGCACTTACAGGTACTTGAGTCTTAAACATCAAATGAAGAACTTTACATTTGGTTTCCTTAAATTTCACGTTATTAATTTTTGCCCAGCATTCCAGTCTGGTGAGATCATTTTTCTCTCGTGTCTGTCACCTTGCAAATTACATATCCCTCCCTATTTTGTGTCACAGGCATGTCTGATAAGTTTTCCTTCTATGTTTTGTCTAAGGAATTAATGAGGGCTGGGCAAACTACAGAACATGTGACACGCCACTAGAATTTCCCTGCCAAGTTGCCAAGAATTAACCCATTCTTTTCCTCCTTCAGATGTGAGTCTTTAATTGGCTGCAAATTCTTTGAACACCAGCAACATACTTCATTTTCCGGATCATAGAGATCCCATTTAATAGTTTGATTTAAATCAAGCTAATTGGCCTCTGGCTTTCCTATGAAAAAGTCAATGAGATTGCTTTAGAGTGACGCATTTTCTGTGAATCGGAATACTAAGGCAGGAGTCACTGCTTTATTTAAAGCACTCATAAAAGACACTCTCTTCTTTTACAACGAATGAGTAAAGCAGATAGCCTGGTGCCTGGCACAGGCGAGGGTGTGGCTAATGACTGTGACCTTCACTCCGATCTGGTGTCCGTATTCCACAGTTTCCTCTGTCTCCGGCAGCCAGTGTTCACCGAAGCTCGTGGCTCGTTCTGAGCTCTTTCTTCCTCCACTTCTCTCCTCCCTCCAGGTTGTGGCCACCACGGTGATGCTGGAGAGAAAGATGCCGCGTTTCCTGTGGCCTCGCTCGGGCATCTGTGGCTGCCAGTACGGGCTGGGCGACCGCTGGTTCCTACGGTGAGTGACAACGTGGGTGGCTGAACTGAAAACATCTGGGATCCTGTGGGAACAAGAGTGACCAGCTCCACATTTGTCACCGTCCTCTCCATTCCCGAGGTCCACATTGGACCCAAAGGGGAAGTCATCACTCTGTAAAGGGTATGAGGGAGGAGGCTGGAGCTGAGGAGAAATAGAAAGAATGATGATAGTGGCTCTGGGCCGTGCGTCTGTCAGGGCAGTGACATGTGAAAGGCACCATGTTCTATGTGTGTCCATGCTGGGACATGTGGGCATGAGTTACCCAACTTGTTCTGGTCTTGCTCTCTGCTGACCCCCATTTCTAGTATAGCCTTGCCTCAAACCTAACCTCCTTCATATTCTATTCTTAGCTCTAACCTGGCTCTCCTCTTTTCTTACTTATGTCCTGAACTGCACCTTGTGTTTGTGACATGGGTATCTCTTCATTGGCTCTGTTTCTGTGTCATATGCACCCGTGTTCCCCCGCCCTCACACCCACACTCGGTTCCTGCGTGCAAGGGCCCTTTGGTCCCTGCCCCAGCTGGTCCTCCTTTCTAGTGCGCTTTCCTCCCCTTCGCCCTGATGCTCTCCTTACGTCAACTCAGCTCTCTGACTCCCCTCTCCCTCCTCGTCCATTTCCCTACCTGTGGCCCGTGTGCCTTGGTTTCTCCCTATGGCCCACGCCTTCCCACCTCACCTGGGTGCTTTCCCCTTCCCCCTCCTCAGAATCGAGAGCCTCCACGACCAAAACTCCTTGCGAGTGCTGCGCTATGTGGAAGCTTTCAAGCCCTCAGACAAGGTGGATGAACAAGAGCCTCTTTCTGAGAAACATCCTTCTGTGTTTGAAAGTGGCACTCTAGCCAGAGCCTCCATGACTCTGCCCACGCCCTCCCTGTCCCGGACCACATCCCGCAGCAGCGGCAGCCACCGGGGCTGGGAGCTCCTTCGTCGTAACACCTTGGGACACTGGAATCTTGGACTGGACCTTGGCGAGGGGGATGGAGATGAAAATCTTTATCTATGATCAGGACCCCTGTTACTCTCGACATGGCTCCAGGTGGCCTGGGGTGGGAGGCAGACAGACCTTTTCCCGGGCCAGTATCTGACTCCCGTGCAGGTAATCATGGGAGGCTGTGGGCAGAATATTTCTCAAAGACCACGTCTCAGCTTTCACCTCAGCATTTCTGGAGACGGGCCATGGGCCTGTGTTGTCCTACACATGCTCTGGAAGTCCCATAGCTTGGGAAAAGAAGGTCTCTTTTCTAGCCAAGTTGGACTTGGCCATCCGAGACACGAGATGGGGATGCTACGCTAAGGATGTCTGCCCCCTGCAGGTACTAGGAAGTAGTCAGTGTTGGAGCTCCAAGTGCTTATTGTGGGAGGAGCCGGGCTGCCCGTGCGTCATGTGGGAGGAGCCAGGCACAGCGCTCCGGCTGGGGCTCTTGTCTGTTTTCCTGCAGCCCTGAAGCACTCTCTCCCCACCTAGCAACCAAACGGCAACTGGCAAACTGTAAGAAGAAAGGCTTTTGATACTTGCTTTATTTTTTTTAAGTTTATTGTGGTAATATGCACACACAGTTTATCATTTTAATCATTTTTAGGTGTACAATTCCACAGCATTAACTACATTCACATTGTAGTACCACTATTACCAGTATTTATTTATCTATAGAACGTTCTCATTATCTCAAGTTAAAACTCTTGTACCCGTTACACGTTCACTTCCCATTACCTCCTCCCCATAGTCCCTGATAACCAATATTCTACTTTCTGTTGTAAATTTCACTGTTCTCAGCACCTCATAAAAGGGAAATCATCCAGTATTAATTCTAGTGTGTCTGCAGTATTTCACGTACCATAATGCTTTCAAGATTCATCCATGCTGCAGCATGTATAAGAATTTCATTCCTTTCCGTTCTAATTTAATTGTATGCACACACAAGTTTTATTTATCCGTTCATCCATTGTTGCACATTTGTTTCCGCCTCTCGTCTCTTGCGAGTAGTACTGTTACAAACGTTGGCGTACAGACATCTAAGTGCCTGTTTTCGGTAGATTATACCTACAGGTGAAATTGCTGGATCTTATGGTAACCTTTGCTTAATTTTTTTGAGAAACTGCCATACCCTTTTCCACAGTAGCTGTGCTGTTTTATATCTCCTCCAGCAATATATGAGCATCCCATTTTCTCCACATCCTCACCAATACCTGCTACTTTCTGTCTTTGCTGTTGCTTCTGTCACTGGCCCTCCTAATGCATGTAAAGTGATACCATATTGTGGTTTTGATTTGCATTTTCCTTAATGCCTAGTGACACCGAACTCCTTTTTCTGTGTTCATTGGCCATCTGTAACACATTTTTTTTTTAGAAATGTCTGTCGAAGTCCTTCGCCCATGTTTGAATTGTGTTGATATTTTGTTGTTGTTTCTGAGTTGTCTTATTCTTGCTTTTGGAGTCTAAAATGTTTGTATCTCATTTGCATCCTGGTGTGTTTTTAAATATATGGGGTAAATTTCGCCTTTCTAATCGTTTCTCTTATGGGACCGTCCCCAATCTGCCTGTCGGGTGGCTCAGTGGCAGCTCATCACCCTTGCGCCTGGAAGCAGCTTCCAGCTGCGTCTGCTGCCACCACCATCTCGCCCTCTCCGTCTGCCCCTGTGCTGAGCTGTGGGGTGAATGACAATAAAGGAAGAGGGGTGATCCTTCTTCAGGGAGGAAAGTAGGAACTAGGCATCTGGGACATCCATGACAGGAGCTCAGAAGCAGCCTCCCTCTTGTCTCCGGCCCTTCGCTTCTCGCCCCAGCACCACCATCACCCTTACCAAGATGCCGTGATAACTCTGAAGAGGACTGTGGCCTCCGATAGCAAAGAGATATGTGGGATTTGTGAAGCCATGGACGGGTTCAGCTAGGTACTCACGCAGAGCACAGAGGAGTGTGGAACAGTGAGGGGTCCCATGAGTTTGCATGCTCACACTCCCACGCGCACGTTCCCAGGGGCGTGGGTTCCGAAAGTGCTCAGTCACTGGGACCCCTCATATTTCTTCCACCATGGAAGCCCCTCCTCTCCTATGGACAGCAAAACTCCCATCTGTCTCCAGACCCAGTTTTCCTTTTCTCTCTCTTCCATCGGCCACGTCTACTGCTGTCTTCTCTAGTGTTCTCATCTGTGTCTCTTCCACCTTTCCCTCTCCGCTGGTGCTAGTCAGCAAATAACCGTGCTCTATTCTTCCCCACCTTCCAACACATCACAAACACCCTCCACCTTTTAGCTACGACTGCCCCGTCTTCTTCACTCTTTCTTCAGGGCCAGACTTTCTAAGGGAAGACTCCATTGTCCACTGACCTCACACAGAGTCCTCAGTCCATTTCGATGTGACCTTACTTCTCCGTGCTACTGATGTTACCCTCATCAAGTTTATCTGTCTACCTACAGCTAAATCCTCCGAAAGTCTCGGTCTTGCTTGATGTCTCTGTAGCAACTGTCAGATTATACTCAGCCACTCACCACCTCTCAGCATGCCCACTGGCATGCACTGCCACTCGATTTCCCTTCTGCCAGTCCCTTCAACATTTTTGGTCCATTTTTGGCTCTGTTTTTCTCACCACCTGGGCAGCCCCATCCACTTCGAAGACTGTATTAGCATGGACACACTGGCGATTCCCAAGCCCTTATCTTCAGATTAGATCTGTCTCCTGAGCTCCAGGCATGAACAGCTTGGATGCCCACCTATGGGACAGCTAGCTGTACCTGGGTATTTTACAGACACCTCAGACTCAGCATGTCCCAAACTGAACAGCTTTGCTTCCTCACCAAACCTGCTCCTCCACCAATGTTTCCAACAAAACGACAGGCAAAGTTGCCCAAGCCAGAATCCTAGGCGTCATCTGCACATCTGTCTCAACTCTCATCTCCAGTAAATCTCCAGTCTTGTAGATTCTATCACCTAAAACCTCCTTTGGAAAGTAACTCATAGGAATCAATAATACATCACAAAATTGTAAGAGCACACAAGGTCTACGGGGGGAAAGAAGCGCTTCCCTACCTCTGTCCCAGCCCTTCTGGTGTTCTTCCTGGGGACATTTTCTTATAATATAGGTTGTTATTTATCCTTCCAAAACTACTCCCTGCATATCCAAGCAGATGTGCGTATACATTCGTCTTAAAAACACATGTAATAGTACAGTATATTAGGAAAACAGTTCTTTTTTTTGTCATTGAACATATTTTGAAGACTGTTCCATGCTCATCCAGCATAAAACCACCCCGTTCCTTTGTCTCTGCCTCTCTGGCCCCCACTGGCACTCCAAAGTGGGCCGCCGCTGTCTCCAGCCTGTGTTACAGGAGCAGGCCCCCAGCTGCTCTCTCTGCTGGCAGTCTTGGTCTTCTCCAGTCCACAGTGCACGCTGCAGCTGAAATGACCTTCATAAAAGGCGACCTCTGCCTCGGACGGCGGTGTCCTGAGCGTGCTTCTGGGAGCCGGCCTCTCGCAACCTCTCCAGCCTCCTCACACCCCTCCCCTCTTGCACTCTCTCATCAAGCCGAAGTATTATTAGTTGCTCAATGGGGCTATATTCTCCTTCTCCTTGACCTTCACAGTTTCTGGACCTTTCTACCTTTCTGCACCCATTACACCCTTCCGGCCTTGTAACTTGTATGCATCCTATTGATCTCAATGATCAGACGTTGATTGTGTGTTATTACACATCCTTCACTTTCCTAAAGTCCCATGTTTAAATGCCCATCTTCTTTAGTAGATTATAAGGCAAAGGATGTCCATCTCGTTCATCATCGTGCTGCCAGTGCATGGCATAATTCCTGTACAAGGTAGTGGGTAATAAATATCCATGACCTGAATCTGTGAATGATTCACCTGTTTTTATTCTAAGTGCTCCCAGTGGGGTGAAATGTACTTGCCTTTGAGTGGGGCTGGAACTATTAAAAATGAGCAGATGATAGGAGTGGAAACACTTGGGAAAGGAAAAACGCCAATACAGATGTGATCATCGAGAAATTTTTCCAGCATGTGTATGTACATATGTGTGTGTGTGTGTGTGTGTGTGAGAGAGAGAGAGAGAGAGAGAGAGAAGAAGGAGGAGAAGGAAGACGTGGAGAAGATGTGGAACACCATGAGGAAGAAGACAAGGAGAGAAGAACCCCAGCCGCAGAGCTCTGGGGCAGATCTCACCAAACCAACTGGTGTGTGGTGGGTTCTTCTGAAAGAAGCAGTCAAGGCAATCTCCAGCTTTCAGCCGTCAGGAGCCCAGATGAGGAAGGCAAAGATGCCAGCACAGCCACTTCCGTAGGATGGTGCAGAGAGGGCGGCAGCCCACGAGCTGAAGGGTGTAAGTGGCCGGCAGATGCCCTTGTTCCAACAGGCAGCCGCCATGCCTGCTGATGTGGCTCTGGAGACAGGGACCAGAGACGGGGGGCAAAGAAAAACCGTGATGCCTGCCTTGGGAACCCTTTGGGTACCCCTAAATGGTTACCCTCCTCCCCTCCTGTCTACCTCCTCCATGCTTGCTTCAGAAGGCAGCGCATTCTCTCTCCCGAGTGCTTCCCACACCAGAGGCTGGGCGGTGACGGGAGGGATGTCTTGTTCTCTCGGGAGGCTCTGAGCTTTACCAATATGTCCCCTTCCAGCTGTTTGCCAAGTGTTTTATGACAAAGTTCTGCTAAGGGGGGCCGTGGAGGGGCCCTGAGGAGTGGCTCTGCCAGTGGCCTTGGAAGGAAGGGCAGAGGCCCCTGCCCCTCCCCTGCGCCACGCTGAGGGAATGCCAGAGGTGGTCTGGGGCCCTGAAGGTGAGAAGCCAGAGAGGTGGAGCTTGTGGGCGCCTGGGGCACGCGCTGTGCATGGCAAAACCAGGGTGGAAAAATGGAGTTGGAGCGAGAACCAACTGTGGCACCCACCAGGCACCTTCGCACACCTGAGTTCAGGTGATGAAAAGCCAAGAAAGCACATTGACGTGGGGTCAAGGATCATTTACTTCTCCAGGTCAGGCCTACCTGTTTCTTAAAAGCCAACAGGGGAAGGAGAAATGTGCAAGGAAAGAAACGCTTGGACGGTAAAACTGAGTGGGTTGGGTAATGTGTCCCTTCTCCCTGCCCTGGCAGGACAGCCAGGCACCAGCCACCTGGGCGGGACTGGATACACCTGCTCCCTTTGCTTGTACCTCCTCTTTGTTATCCTGGCCTTGAGGAGATAGCCCTGGGGCCCGAGGCAGTGGGGGCTTGTGCAAGGCCAGGCCGTAGCTGGAGGGGCTGAGTGGGCATGACCTCCTCACCTGTGCAGTGTCGGGCACCTGTGACAGGGGTCTACTTGTGTGTGCATATGCGTGCAAATGGTCCCTAAAGGGCCGCACTCTACTCAACAATGCTTGCTCTCCTCTCCGCCCTTCTGCTGAGTTAGATGCTTGCCTAACTCCTTCCTGATGAAGCTGTGACTTCACCTGTGGGGGGCTGACACAAGCTTCCTTCCATAGACACCGTCCCTGCCACCACCCCCACCGCCATGGACTACGTTGGCCAGCAGCTGGCTACCTTGGGTTCTGGGCTGATCTGAGGGCCACTGGGTTTACGTCTGTCAACTTCCGCATTCCCCCAGCACCTCACTAGCCAGCAAGGGCCCTTTAGGGTCCAGAAGGACAGGTAAACAGTCCCGTTTTCCTTTGATGCCCCGCTGCAGCATCAGCTGGTGGTTCTGGCTCGTCTCCCTGATGAAGTTGTACAGTAGCGGCCTGCTCAGGAAAGCACGTGGGCCACGAAAACGTCCCCGACAGAGGGAGCTGTTGTCAGGATATACTTGCAGTCCCCCAGTTCACCTGTCTTACGCTCAGGCCTTCTCTGCGTTTCCTCATCCCTCTCTAGGCCCTGCCTTCTGATTCAGAGATAAGAGGTAAGGGAAAGAGACAGATACATCAAAGCCTGTGGCTACCTAAAGGTCACCTTCGACCCTGTCCTTCGACACGCTCTCCCGTTCTGGGTGAGACCCGGCCTCTCCTTTCCCTACCTAAACCAGATCTGAAGGGGGTACCTGCCAGTTGTTCCTCCTTATCCCTGGCACAAGTCTCTGCCTCTTCATTTTCTCTCTTCCTCCATGTGTAAAGCTCTTGGGCAAAGAGGAGACCATGCCCAGGCCCCACGGCCCCTGTTCTAGACCCTCTGGGTCTCTGGTTGGTGATCACCCCCTGCCCTTGGGTCCTAGGCCAGCCAGCAGAGGGCTCAGGACGGGAGGGTGGGAAAGAGTGGCTGCAGCCAGCCCCAGCTGGCTTTCTGCACACACTCACCACACCTTCCCCTGCACCCCAGCCGCTGCTCGCTTCCCACCCCTGCAGGCCAATTAATCTCTCAAGGACAGCAGCCATTGTCTCTGTGTGTGGGCTGGGGATGGACAAATACCCTTCCACCTCCCAGGACACATACATGCTTCCCTGCCAGCTTCCCTTGTCCCTCTGTCACCTCCTGCGCCTCACTTGCACACGGACCCACTTTTGCCTTTGAGGCCCAGGCAAGGAAATGCGT